GCGTTTTGTAACTGGAAATAAAGGCACTAGTTTGAGTTTGTCAGTTAAAGATGACAGTAGCCAAGTGCTGGCAACAAAGTGATAGTTACACTGTTGAAAAGAGGGAAGACAGAATAATAATAATAATAATAATAATAATAATAGTGATTCAGTGTAGTATTTCTCTCATTCTGCAGTTTAATGCAACGATGACAGAGCGCAAAAGCCCCCTAGTGGACAGTAGGCCCACTGCCAATCGATCCCAGAATATCTTAGTAGCTGATTGCTGATGTGCAGATTGCAATAAAATGACACATACAATATTATGTGGAAAATAATATCTTTTCAACAATTTTCTGAGTGGATTTATATAATTTTTAGGCTTTCATCAACTAATGTTATTAATATTTATTGCTTTTTTTCTGACAATTGCATTTTTTTTTTGTACTATGAGCGTCACTACGTTATAATATGAAATCAGCATATAACCACTGCAGAGAATCTTCTAGCATCGCTCTGTGGATATAATAATAATCTTCCAACATATCAAACTTCACTAAACTATATCATATTTGAAGAAACATTCAGAGTAGCAGCATGGTGCAAACTGCGCGTACAGTACACCTTTAAGAGCCACAGTGAGCCTACATGAAGATCAGTGGATCACGTTTTGTTTGATCGAATGAACCAACAGAATTTGCCACTAAAGTTGCATCAAGCCAGCTCCTCCATGAGAGTCTGCTGAAGGAGCTTTACTTCAAGGCATCCTCCGCGGGCAGCCGTTGGAAACGCAGTGTCACTCGGCGGACGTTGTAGGAAGTGGCTCTTCCTCGAACGCCTGAGAGACGACTGTAGTTCTCCGAGTCCCGGTGAAGTACATGCCGTAGGCAGAGGCTTAGAATAGCCCGAATGAAAATGTCCGGAGAAGAGCTGGCCGCAACACAATGCCGCCACTGTTCTGCAATCGCTGCTGCTTGTTGTCTATTTATGGACAACAAGCGCAGTGTATCTTTACCATAAGAACCACAGTTTGGATCTCTAACGCTTAGTTACGGGCAACAGGTCAGTTTGAGCAGGGAGAAATCAGCTTCAAAAGGAGGTCAGCAAATACAGATGCAGAGATTTCGCATTACTGCTACATTTTTGTCACTAAATATGAATGATAACCCGTAGGTAGTGTATGGTTGAAACCAAATAATCAATCAATCAATCAAATTTTATTTGTATAGCACATTTCAGCAGGCATTTCACATTTAATGTCACATTTTTGACTTGGATTCAACCAGAAAGTTTGTTTCTGATAGAAAAAGCAAGCCTACAACTACTTAAGTAGTGCATTTTTCTGCCAACTAAGCGATTAATCGGCTAAAGAATGACCACATTCTGCAAATCTTTCATTTAAGATTATTTTATACAATATTTAGAAATACAGCACAAATTAAATAAATCAGTCCCTTTGTAACAAATGAGTAATTAGTTAGCAAAAGGTGCTTAATATAGGATTTTGCTTTTCATTGAATTTGAACTTGACAAAACTAAAAAAAAAACATACCATGTTTTGGGTTGAACGTAAAGGCATTTTTTTTTATTCGGAAATGAAAAATGCATATATTTTTTCAACACCATTGGCTCAGTTACTGCTCTGACTATGGTGTCAGCAAAATGTGTGTAGTTAATGATTAATCGGTTACTAATTTAATCGCAGAATATTTTAATAGTCAATTAAAATATTATTCCGATTAATCATTTTAGCCCTACCTATGTCTTGCCTGCAGTTCCTCATACTGTCTATTTCCTTCTTTAACAGCTTTAACAATGACTGCCTCAAGTTTTTTTTGGGTGATAAGTGGATGAGAAGCTTTTATTCCTTAAACGTTAAAGCTGCAGTGGATAGGATGGATGCCACACTGGGTAGATTTCACATCAACCAGCCACTCGACGTCTAGCAATGTTCCCAAAAACTGTAGGCGGTTCAGCCAGGTGCTGACCAGGGACGTCAAAAGTACTTATAGCAACCAGGTTTTATTATCACTGTTATTATTATATAATTTTTATTGTCCTTTTTTTTTTTTTTTTTTTTTTTTTGCTGTTGTCGCTTTTAGCTGATGTGTAGCTCGAATGGCTTCTTCCCGGAAGATGTTCCCGCTCTCAGCCGGGTCAGAATGGGTTAACGTGCTCTGGGAGTCTGATGACTCGATCATCTGCTGCGTCGCTGCTTAACAAAACACAACAATATCCTCTAGGGTTTGATCATAAATATCAAGATGTTCACATGCCTCCTCATGAGAGGGATCACTGTGAAGCACACAGACCATATAATTTTATCACAGGATGTGATAAGGAAACCGGCCGAGTCTCAGCTGGATTTTAGGCCTTTTTACACCAGCTTAAAGACATTATCATGTTACTCTGTGTTGTTTTTTCTTCTGGTTAGATGACTTTTATATAATAGTAGCCTTTAAGTAAATTAACCTAACCTAATGGATTATAAAAGCTTCCTTTAAATATAACAGCAGGGCTTTGACTATAAAAAAATGAACCAAATGAGTGTTAAACATCACTCTCTTTATTTATTTGCACCCCCTCAAAACTGAAGTACAATAATCTAGTATGGAAATTGTGCAACCTGTACATTGAATGTAGTGAAGAAAATAATTGTTTTTGCTTTTTTCTCTATAGAATCAGAACGATTTATGTAAAATAAATCTAGCTGAAAGATGTTTTGTAGTTTTCTTACTTCAGACAGATTGGGGGCATCTTGTCCTGGACTTCCTGCTTCCTGGTGGGCAAATAAAGCTCTTTCTGCTACAAATGTGGTCAATATCAACGTCCTGTTTATTTTCTACACATGATTAAAGGGCAGTGATTCCAGCCACATTGAATCATTTCAAAGCACAAATCAAGTAAAGTATATTACTTTCAGTTCTGATAAAAATGCTTTATATGTATGCCCATATCAAATATGACTTAAATAAAATTTGATGTCATGATTTAAAGCCTTGGCATTGGGCCACTGTGTTAAAAAAAACTCCTTCTCATTCTGAAACTCCACCCTGAAGAAGCCATCAAAACATCTCTCGTCTTTTACCAGCCTTTCTCTTAGTAGCCTCTATAATGAGCTCAGCCACTGCACAGTTCCACCAGGTGTTTGCTAATTGCTGCTGGCTAGTCTGAAGGAGCGGAGTGGGGCAGTCACCAGGCAGAGCTGCCCTCTAATGCTGTGAAGTATTGGCTCAGGGAATAATGTATGCCATAACTTTTAAAATTACAGTCAGCTACTATCACATGAAGCCACATAAACTTTGTTGTATAAATGTTATAAAATCTAAAAACAAATAAATAAAAAAAAAATTTTTCCACTAGCGAATTAACAGCTTTCAGAAAAATTACATCAAATGCAGGAATGTCACATTTTCACGGGTCAAACTGCACCTTACTGTGTCACTCCCATCACTTTTCCCAAAGGACTTTTCTTTTCAGACTGCGTTCACATCTCCACATTTAACAGTTTGAGCACAAGGCTTTGAACAACAATTTCTACATAAAACGCAAGATGCTCCCACATATGTGAACTGTAAAAGCAAAACATAGAATGACAGAAGAGTCTTGAGTTAATTTCAGTTACATTAAAAGGGAAGTCTGCAGGGCTAAAAATGTCTGTGCTCAAACATTTAGCAAAGTGACAAAAGGAAATAACTTTCAGCAATTAGATGCAAAGTGACTTCCAGAATAGGAGCACTTACAGTCTGATGTCAGCTGAATGACACGATGCAGAGCTGACACGAGGATCAAGTGACTCCTTTCACGAAGCTCGGGTTGGACGTTAGCATTAGGGCCTAAAATCGGATGGGACTCTAGATTTTGGGGCGCATGCCTACAACAAGCTGACTTAATTTTACTTTGTACGTCTGTAAGCCGCAACTTTTGTCCCGTGAAATTTATCGAACCAACTCTGACCAATATTTTGTCATTTCTGTTAAGTTATTTCTCACTTGCTAGTTACAGGAAAAGTAGAATGAGACCTAACAGAGAATTTGTACATTTGTCAAACAGCAGGTTACTCAGGGTAAAATAATGCTGGAGAAAAGAAAAAAACAATTTTCCTCCACTTGCTCAGTGCAGATTGATAATGCATGTATGTATATAAGGAATAACTAAAAATTATTGCTAATTTTAAAACATTTTTCCGCAGTTCCTTCAATAAGAGTATCAATAAATAACAGTACATTTGAAAATATTAATAAATTTGGTTACTGTGAGCAGCTCAGCCATACAAATAACACTTCTTACTGTTACTGAAGTCCAGAAGAAACACATTTTAATTTTTTATAAAGAGCAGTGTTTGTGTTTGTGGAGCGATGATTGCTCCACAAGTCACCTACTAATATTACCTTAAAAAGTTATATTGTCACTTTTATTATCACAATAGAACTGTAAAATATCGGGATAAAACTTTAAGCCCGTATGATGTGAATCATAAAACAATACTCAAGCACACAACTGCTATTTAACAACCCATTGTAACACATTCATGGGAGGTAGGGCACCAAACAAAGTGGTCCAAACAGCCCGCAGACCAACATTTTATAAATCCGGCCCTGAACAAAGGGCCATTTCCACATGGTTTCGACTCTATATAATTTTAAGTAGCTGTTTGGGTAAAATAAACCAACCTCTATGGGTCAAACTGTCATCAGAACTTAAATGGGGGCTCGGTGTTTATGCATGAGCCACCTGCTGGAGCCAGGTGACAGAATGGATGCCTCAGACCTTTCAGCGAAGCAGCCACTGTCACATAACTTCAGCATCATCATTACACAGCAGCTCTCCCGATGCAGACCGACGGACACAATGAATGAGCCTGAATGAGCTCGTCAGACTCACGCAGCATCGGGCCCTCCCGTGGAGACACCACAACACAAAGGCCTAACGACACGGACGCGGCGACTGCCGTAGACAACTTTGGTACAAAAATAAAAGAAACCAGACCGCGGATCCGTTCGGTGCACCGGTACCGGTACCTTAAGGCTGGCGTGGCTGGTCTGAGTCTCGGCCTCGATGCGGACGTGCCCCCCGCTGTTCTCCCTCCGCTCCCGGTGCGAGTTGTTCCGCGAGTGGCGGCTCTGGTAGGCGATGACGGACGGGATGGCTTCGGCCGCGTCCGTCTTGATGAAGAGCCCGTGCAGCGTGGCGGCCGCCGTGCCCTGGGAGATGGTGGTGGTGGTCTGGTGGGGGGAGTTGGATTCGTCCGAGTCCCGGCAGTAGATCACCCCGCTCTGAGAGACGTGGATGCTGGGAGCGCAGCCCATGCCCTCAGCCTCAGCCTCGGCGAGGCTCGCCTAGATTTCCCGGTAGTGAACAGCGACTCTCGGGTGCCGCCTTGCCGCTGGTCCACCGCCGCCGCCGCAGCAGCAGCAGCAGCAGCGCTCCTCCGGGCATCGGCCGCGAGCCAGTAGCGCGCTCTGCTCCGCTCCGTTTGGGAACATCAAGGAGAAGAAACGCGTCCGGCTTCTCCTCAGCCTGCGTTAGTGCGCGGTCTTGGACGTGGCTCTCATTTTTTGGGGGGGAACAAAATGCTTTAATAATAATAACAGTAATAGTAATGTACCCAACTCCCCCCGATGACGGCCTGAACCGGGAGCATCTAATGAACAAAACTAATAGCCTATATGGACTCAAACACCTGGCTGCTCTTCATCCTGTCATCCTCTGTGCCATGCTGCCATTTTTTTTCAGTCTGGGTAGAGAAAGAGCTCTCAACAAATTATTTAGTTCCTCTGCTTGCAGATCATTGGCCCCCGTCCATGTCCCTCTCTCCTCCCTCCGTCCCTCCATCAGACTAACATTGTATCACTTCTGTCTCTCCAGAGCAGAATCTCCCAGGAGGTCACACTCCGACTCCGGGGGTCATTTGACGACTGCCGCCATGATGAATTGGAGGTACTGTTGTCAGACTGATGAAGGTCTTATGAAAAAGCATGTACTTTTTATTTTGGTGAAAATTCATGTCTTGAATCTACCACAGCTCCCATACGGGTCATGAAAAGAATTAGGCTAATAGCTCAGCTTTAACTAACTCAACCCGACGACTGCTTTCTCAAAACATACTCCTTCCTTGTTTAAAGAGGCAGCATATAGCTTTCATTTTATTTATTTTTTTAAATATGTCTTTTACAGTTTTGTTAAAACTGTCAGTGTGTCCTGACTGTTTGCTATGAGTCAGATAATATGAGAAAATATCAATCTTTTCCGTCTTTTCCCAGTTCTATCATTGCCCTGTGAAGAAATACCACGCTCCTGAATAAAAACAACCAATCAGAGCCAGGGGGAGGGTCTTAGCGCTGTCAATTGACCTCGTGTACGCTGCTAAATATGCTAACGATGGAGAAACGACTTGCTGATACAGGGAAACTGTGAGCCCACTGCTGCTGGATGCTAACTAGTCTGAGCATTGATGACACAATCGACAAGTGACACCAAACTGAGGTCTTGGAAACGTCCCTGTTAGTCGAATCTTTTAAACTATGTTGGAGAAATGTAACATCTCTGTCGTCCTTTGCTAAGCGTTTCACTCCCAGATTTTTGAAAACAAATAAATAAATGAATTCAGGAGCGGCGTCTTGTTGAAACGAGAACATTTTTATTCTAACAAGATGTGAAAATATGCTCTTCTGACAGATTACACACTTGTTATAAAACGCGTTTTACTGCACGGTTTTCCTTCTCTGTTTGTTCTCAAATGTGGATGCTTCAAATCTGGATACCATCCAACAGCTTAAGATGCTGAAGATGTTTTGAAAGGACTGCTGCATCGCTTCGGTCCAAAGATCCACTCGTTCACTCGTTCACTCGTGTCCGATGCACCGCGTTGAAAACATAAGAAATATAAACTTTCCATCAACCTCCAGGCCGCAGGAAATCGTCCACTTCGCCCAGCCTTCGCTGTTTTTCCGACCCCTAGTTTTAATCTGTTTCTACAACCAAACAGCAGGAGAAAACTGAGGGCATGTGTCAAATTAAAACAAAGCATGAAAATTCATAGCGACTCGTTGCAGATGATATTCCACCCACTTCTGTCTCCATCTCTGAGGACAGTCAGTGAGCAGAAAACCCATGAAAGGAAGGAAAAAACTCCAAGTGACAATTTTTTGGGAGACACCCGAATGAGTCACATTCTAAATCACTCGAGTGCCATTTTTTTTGTGTTTTTTTTTCTTTTTGTTTCATATTTAATCCACTGAAGGAGAATTAAATAACTGTTACATAAAGCACCAAAAACACTATGACAGTGTGGTTAGGGTTGCAGGTTACATGTAACTTGAGGCTAACTGTGGTATTAAATGACAGAAATTATGTATTTACTTTACAATATTTGTGTTTAATTCAAGAAAAAGAGTTTTGTGTAAACTTTTGTTTCTCTTAAATGCATGACTTTTTTGTTCAGCTTTGGCTTTTTTTTTTACTGCTCTCTGTATGTCTTTCTATAATTAAATGGCTTCTTGTGCTCCAGTTAACAATTAATTGATAAATAAATTAGCTGACGATTATCTCAATAATCGATCCAACGCGATTCATTGGGAGTGATTGTTTCAGACCTGTCTACGCCAGTCTGAACGGTGCTAACAACCTCTCTTTTCCCCAGATGCTGCAGAACCGTGAGACCAGAACTTATCATCACTGTACATATTCGGTATTTATTGTAAACAAACCGTTTCCTTTTTGAGTCCTGTGTACGATTTTGCAAAATGGGTCCGTAAAATTCCCGGAAACGTGGCAACCAAATGGAAGAAGTCGCTCTGATTCACATGCAGAAAGTTGCATGTACACAGGATAAGCTGGCACCACACGTCGCCCCGAACACCACATCCTCAATGTGAGACATGGTGGCGGCAGCATCATGCTGTGGGGTGGTTTTGCTCATAAGGCCCAGAGAAGCTGCTTAGAGTTACACCATCGACTGGGTCACATCAAAATGCTCAACATGCAACAATCGCCACACTTTTATAGAAAAATGACATGGGACGTTATATAATCACTCAGTGTGATCGGTCAGAAAATTAATTACACCTTCTAAATAAGTAAATAAAAATCAGAAAATCTCAAATAAAACCGGAACATTTAGTGTCAGAGTAGCTCTGGATAGCGTCGGCAAAACTCCCAATTTCCACGACTGACGCTTCATTCAGGCCGGTTGCTTTAGCCGCCAAGTTGTACGAGGATTCAGATTGAATTCAGAGCAAACATCTCAAAACCTGGACATTTGAAAGAAACGGATGTACGCTTTGTAGCAGGGCTCAATCAAAGTCATGGGAGAAGTAAGGACAGTTTGTTGCATAAAAATTCATTTTCCGTTATCTAAATTACAGTTAAAGTTATTTGCTGTCATCCCATTATATTTACATGTAGATGTGTGAAAAATTGTTAATAAATCCAGTAATTTTCTAAACAGCCTTTTTTTATTCTTTTCTTTAAAAAAAAAATAAATAAATAAATAAAACAATTCGTGTCCCAAAATAAATACCTTCAAACAATCAAAATGTTTTCCAGTCTAACTTATCTGGTTTTAAAACTAAACTCCCTGTGTTTTGGTCAATGGCGTCACAGTTTATTCTGCTAAGGTCGCCCCCTGCTGGTCGGCCTGTTAAGAGCAACCAGTATTTGAAAAACGAAAAAGCAAAACATTTAACCCGCAAAGTTAGCAAAACTTTCATATCCGGCTACTTTTTCTAAATCAGTTGTTCTTCTGAATTAATTCGAGTCCAACATATTTCACCGTTTCTCCTAATACTTACTAAACCAAGAAAACAGTAGAAATATTTCACTTTTTATCGTTTTTTCTTTAAGTAAATGTTGTTGAAGGTGACTGGCAGATTCAACCGTAAGCACAACGGTTCATTTAAACACCGTTGTTGGAAAAATGCGGGTTTGTGAGCTCCTTCCTACCTGCAGGGGTCCATTGAGGGACAGCTCCTCCTCCGTGGACAGTCCACTCATGTCTCCACGGCCACGCAGGTCTGACGCTCAGCTGGAAATCAAACGGAAGCGAATGAAAGCCGCAGCTCTTTCTGTCGCAGAAAGCCGGGGAGCTGCTGAAGTCTTTCCCCGAGTCCCGTTAAGTTTGGTCGAACTTCGCCGACCCTCTTGGTTCGGACGGCTTCGGGCGGACTCGGTGTCCGTGCGGCCCTAGTGTCCTCAGCGCGCCGCGGCGTGGGAGCGCTCAGCCACATCCACGAGCCGTGGCTGTAACTTCAGCGATTCTGTCCGAGAGGAAAACGTGCAAAGGCCAGAGGTTTCCCTGGAGGAGCTACTGGGGTCCGTAACTCAGGTGGGAGAGTCCAGGCGCGGTGCCCCAAAGCCCCCGGGGAACCATTTCTGACCTCTGATTTTGTTTCAGCCCTCCAACTGAGACAAATGTCCCAATCAACAAAGGATGTCTGCTGAAAGTGGACAGCTCCATGTGGGTTGTCTGAAACCTCTGCGTTTCTATTACAAATCTGCGGCAAATGTTGCCAGTGTCGTGCTAATGTTTCCATTAAGTAAGAAACGCAATTGAAATCACAGCAAGTCTGTTCACGATTTTAAATCATTAAAAAAACAAACAAACAAACAAAAAAACACCCTTTGCTATGATCCTCTAACTACTTCCTGTTGTTGTCTTCTTCGTGGTTTTCGCCGGTGGCAACGTCCGGTTGTTGATGTGTGACTAGTGTGACAGAAAGTGTTTCCAAAATGAACTGATTTCATCAAAAATAAAACTAAAAAATAAATCACCTCATCAAAGCGGCAAAACCTTTTAGCTAACCCTCCAGTAAACAAATTAAATTGTTTTAATGTCAAATTACTCATGGTCAATGGACAAACAGTTGGGAAACAAAAAATCAAAAAATCAACTCAATAGTTTTTTAAAATACACATCCTGTGGAAGAAGTTGACAGAATAAAGGATTTGAAAATTTACCACGTCAGACAAAGAACTGGACACATTTCCAAGCTATCAATTGGATGCTAGCTAAAGGTGCACACTTTACACTTTGCCAGAAAGTGTAGAGTTTGGTGTGAAGTTTTTTTTTTAAACTGACCTTCACATTTTAAAAACATTTCAACACACATCTAGGAGCGCAACACATTCTGTTTTTTTCTCATTCTTTAGTGTTAAGACATTAAAAAAGTAGTCGTATTTTTTTATGAAGAGTGATTGATTATTCTTTCTACGTATATAGTCTGTTTTAATACAAATCTATATTGCAAAGGTAAAGATAAATAAAGTGAACCTTTCATATTAGGACTGATGACGAGAGACAGTTTGAAGAAAATGGTAAAAGTTGGTTTATTGCAGTTTCATGAGAAGTCCAGCAGATGGCACCCGAAGTCAGTTGGTCTCACACACTGAAAGACGGACAGCTTTAAATATAATAATCATTGAAATATAACTAATCAAACAATATTTGCTCACTTTTTGTCATCTAATGTCAAATAACGAGAACGGATGCTTCACCTCTGGACTTCAGACGTCATTCAAACATTTAAAGTGACAGACAGGAAGGGAAGAGGGGAAAAAAACAACTTTCCTGGAAGACAGAAGAAAGCAGAAGATGCTGAATGTGCCGGAAATCCGTTTATCCGGAAGCTGGATTTCAGTCTCTTCTGCTTTCACCTGCAAGAATCGCCAGCTGAACGGCCCTGACATAAGCAGGCCTTTGTTTGTCTAAATCTGTATTATCCCTGCCTGAGCTGAAGCCACATACACACACACACACACACACACACACACACACACACACACACACACACACACACACACACACACACACACACACACACACACACACACACACACACACACACACACGCACACACACACGCACACACATAGAAATCAGAGGTTTATGAAATTGATGCATGAACGAGGCTTTTGTCTTTTTGTGGTTTATCATCCATGTTCATGTTGAACCATAATTTCTGTTGAAGCAGACCTTTCATTTCAGTTTTCGTTTTTCTTAGAATTTTTTCCCAAAAAAATAAATAAATAAAAAAATTTAATTACAAATTTCAGTTATGTATGAATAAAATTTCTGCCCACTTTTTATATGCAAAGCAAACAAGGAGCCACAAGTTCAGTCAGATTGGATGGAAAGCATAAGAGTGACAAATTTGAGCTCCTGCCCGTCAGTTAGAGTTAGTGCTGAACTTTGACTAGGCCTTTGTGAACATGTTTTGTCCTAAACAGGTCAAAGACAGTTTTTCTTTCTGGATTTATTTCCACCCAATGTCCCATCCATTCTGTCTGCATTTCAGGAAAAGAACCCCCACAGAATGATGCTGCCACCACCAAGTTTCACCCCGAAGAGGGTGTGTTCCTGGTGTTGCACATTTCCCATTGTTCCTCCTATTTTCTCTGAAAGAAGATGGAGCGAGGAATCAAAAAGGTTAGGGATAACCTAGTGAAAGTGATTAATTGATGAACAGTTTAGAGCAAGAGAAACATACAGTTTTTAAATTTATTTATTAAGTATATAATAAATAGCACATCAGAAGAGCTAATATTTTATGTACGACATTTGTTTCCCGTTGTCACAGCAGCTAAAAAAAGAGGGTGTATTAAGTTGTTATTTGTTGGGAGTTTTTTACATTTATTTTTATTAGTTTTTTTCTGTTTGATGAAATGATCTACTCAGGGATAGCAGCAGATTCACAGCGCCGGGGCCAATCAGTGTGACTGCGATGCTGCGACCCGACTGCGAGCCGAGCCCTGTATCTGCTCCCCTCCTGACACTGACAAACAGCTCAGCTCAAATTACATCTCAGGGCAAAGCTTCAATTTGTTTTTTCTTTTTTTTTTTTGCTAAGGAAAAGAGATTTCATGTATTATTGCTGAAAGTACATCAATGTTTCTGAATCGCAGCATGATGAGCTGTCTCTCCTTATCGATGCTGTCCCGGTGATCCATGGATGCCCAGGATGAAAAAAAAAAAGAACAAGATGGAGGAGGTGAAAGAAGACGTCGAACGGGTTCTGGTTCATGTCTTTCTTTGGACTGAAGGGTATAGTTCAGTGGCGGTGCGACGGTTCTGTATTACGAGCTGTTTTGAACCAGTCCAAGTTCTGCGTCTTTGGTCGTCAAGTCATGCTACTTAAATAAAGATCGATTCGATCTTGAATTTACTTGAAATTAGCTTACCTGCATAAACAAGATGAACTGAACATAAGCACTGCGGTGCAGTTCTGTGCAGTATAGTTAGTGGTAGATTGGGTCTTCATCACACTAAATAACTAAAATCTCTTTTATAATGCTGAGTAATGATGTTGAAGTCATGATTTGTCTTTAAGTTTAATTTGGACATTTAATGATGTAGTAAACCTCACTTAAAACCTTACAATATCTTTCCTGCAGTTCCCCAGATCTTAATTTTATTCAAGTTAACCAGATTTCTCGTTAAATATTCACATTTCTGTGCATGTTAGAAAAACACACGGGCTGTTTTAGTGTGTCCTAACTAAACAAAACTAAAAGAGTCCTCAATCTTTATCAGCCTCCGTGTGATGAATCATTTCATCACTTGTGTGCTAAATTGGATTCACCAATCAGGGATTCTTTTTGAAAGCAATCAGGTTCAGATGGTTTAATTTAGGGGTAAGAGGCCGAAGATTGTTCTTGGAAATTAAAAACCGCGCTTAATTTTGCATCCGCTTCACCGTTTCTCGTTATTTTTTGTTTGATTTGCCTCAAAAACACGTCGAGAAAGTATGTACAAGTTTTGCGGTGGTCTCAAGACACAATGTAAAAAGGTCGAAGGCGTACGCATGTGAAGTAATTCGTGATGTGATGATGCAAGATGGGGAATTTGGTGATGCCACTTCATTAGTGTGTCTGAAAAGTGTCTGAAAACGTTCTAATACCAGCTTCTGTGACTCAAAAAAAATAAAATGCGACAACGCTGACATCTTTAGAGTTCAAGCTTTATAGACGGATAAATAGATATACAACCACTAAAAATTAAAGAGCGATATCTTTACTTCTTTAACAAACAAACAAACAAAAAAATCCCTGCACTAAGTGGCTTTGAAAAGTTGAAAGGAATGTTCTTAGTTGTGAAAAACCATGATAATGATTAGGGTTAGGGTTAGGGTTAAGGCTGAAAAGAGCAGGTTGTTATGTATGAAGTAAACACATTCACCAACAAGACCTTAACTAGATGGTATGCAGGCCTTTGCAGACCTTCAGCGGTCATTTCAGTAAATCTGATTGGGATTTGTCCCGCCGGTTGTTAACCGTAACGTTCAGCCACAAAGCGACTGCTACAAACTCGTTGAAAGTGTAAATCGGCTTTCTCGCTCAGAATCTGAGATTGAACTTTTGACCCGTCGACATGGAGGATTCAGGCAGTGACTCTAACAGATTAGAAAGCTCACAAAAGCTAAAAGCACAGAGTGAAATCTGTAAAAAGTTTAATTAATTTTTTTTGTTCTTGTTTTTTGAATAGGACTATGATGAAAAATAGAAGCTTTGAGACTGAAAGTGTTAAGCCAGGATTTTACCCTGATCTGCTGTCGGACCTAAGAGCTGGCTCAGGTTTGAGTCTTACATAAAAGAAAAAAAAAACAGGGATCTTTGTGTTTCCATTGGCAACTTTTCATCGGCGTCGACAAAATCGCACCCCAAGGCTCCGTCTTGGGGCCCCTTCTTGCTTAATATCAGCATTCTGCTGCTCGCTCTGACAACAAGTAAGATCAGCTACCATAGCTATGCAGATGACACACAGCTCTACATTGCAATGTCACCAGGTGACACTGAACCCATTCTGGACAGATACGTACAACAGATCGATGCACTGAGGTGCTAATCGCTTTCTTCAGATGAAGTAATTATTTCTGAATGCATAGAGGAACGATCTATCGTCAGGGAACAGCTTCAGTTACTGCAGCTAGAAACCAGCAATCAGGTCTGAAATCTGGCTGCAGAGATGGACTCTGACCCGAACCTTCAGGTTTCGTTTGAAACGCTAGTATAGATAGAACTCGGTAGAATCTAATGAATATACAGCATGTAGTCCCAAACTCTATTTGCCCTCAAGGTGTTAATAAATGAATTTTTCTCATTCAGACATGCCGTTCCTAATTATCTCTTTGGTTTACTCGGACAGCTTATCTTGCAGAAACAAACAAGGTTTTTTTCTGAGTACGGAATACACGAAGGCCCGGTTCCTGCATTTGAAAGGACTGACCTATCGGACCGCCTGAGGCGCCTGCAGACCGGCGGGGGACTCGGTGAAGCAGAAGTCGAGCTTTGTGTGTCCTTGACTTTCAATAAAATGACCTGAACGCAAGCAGCAGCTTTTCAACAGTCGCACGTGTCATCAAATTTGCCTGTTCAATGAGTTGTTTTTTTCTCATGCTCAGCAACATGGACGCCGAAAGAAGAGTTGACTCTGCTGACGTGGGAAGATCACTTTTACTAATTCAACGCTAAAAATTGCTATTAAACCAAATGAAAGATGAGTGGTGTGGAGTTTTCTCACAGACTGTCATTTCTTGGTGTGGCGTAGAAACATCCTTGGTGACCCTCGAGCATCTTTGAAGATTCCTTGTCATGTCTTGAACATAAAAAAGAGTTTTCTATTGTTGTTTCTCTTTTTTTTAATGACGACACAACAGGCTTCCTCCCATTGGTCCAAAGCGTCTTGCTGCTGCATCCTGGACTTTTTGAGGCTTTCTTTTTTGCAATCCTCTCTTGTATTTTCCAGCCACTTTCTCGCGCAGTCGCGTTACAGTCAATTGTTATAAACATGCTGTACATATCAAACATCACGACCAGAAGACATTAAAGGATTTCTCAAATAAGCATCAAGGCAACACTCAATGTATGTTTTGGATGAGGTGATAACAATTTAGCTTTATAGTAAAAAGCAGGAAAAAATAGAATGAAATCGCTTTTACACTCTTTATTTTTTTACAAATGAAATTTCAAAAAGTCTGGCGTACATATTAAAGGGACAGAGTCAAGGAAGGACAAAAAAACTAAAAACTTCAAAACCATATTGCCATTTCCTTCCATTTCACAAACATTACTGCTACTTTATTTTGGTCCATCATTCAAAATCTGACAGTATTTTTGAGGGCTGTGTGTTTAAAAAGGTCAATATTCACGTGAAAAAGACAAAACAAAAAAACACAACTTCAACACACAGCTTCACTGAAAGATGGATTGCAAATACTTGTGATGAAATATCATTCAAGCACACCAAGTGCTGAAATCGACAGAGAGCAGGGTGAGCCTGAGGGAAGATAAGATGTGATGCCTCTGACTCTTTGGCTTCAGCTGCTCATCTTCTCCTCCGCTTCTTATCTCTCTTCACGCTCGCCTTGATCTTTCCCTCGTCACATCCACGCAATTGGTCAAGGAAGGAGGCGGCGGGTGACGGGGCCCCCTCTCCCCCTCCCCACTCCCGTGACTCGCTCCGTGGCGGATTGGACGAGTGTATAAAACAAAACTAAAAGGCAGCGCTGACCGCGAAGCAGTTCAGCTCAGACCTCTCCCAACTTCACTCCAAGTGAATCTCGCACGCGTGTTATGGAGCGCACTTTCCGGGAGCGGCTCTTCTTCCTGCTGCTGTGTCTGTCCGTCCTGAAGGGAGACTGCAGGTCCATCGAGGTGAGACAGACAAGAGAGACACGTTTGTTTTTGTCTGCTCAAACTTTCAGACTGAGACGCATGTCTTTCTCAGTGGCAGAGATGTTTATTTTATTTATTATTTATTATTTATTTATTTATTTATTTATTTATTTATTTATTTATTTATTTATTTATTTTAAATCTTGCAGAACAACGACATCTCCAAAGATGAACTCTTCTCGCTGTTAAGCTCGGATCTGAGGAGGGAAATACCCGAGCTGTTGATATATCGCAGACCTTTGCGTAAGTTTTTCAGGTTACATAGTTACAAAAAACAAAAAAACAAAAAAGTAATTAAAAATAATATTTTTTTTTGCATTATATAAATATTATCATTATTAAAAATAAATAAATAAAAGATGAAAAATTATTGGCAAAAAATGACAAAAAGGATTAATAATAAAAATAATAATAATTATAAAAAAATCTAATAATGATAATAATTCTGTCATAAATCGTAATCTTCAGTTTTAACACTGGCAGAAGTTGATGCGCGTTCCCTCTCTCTGATTGGCTGACAGGTTGCCTGGACATGGTGGCCGTGGAGGGTCAGTTCACCTTCACGGCTGAGACCCCCCAGCTCAGCTGCGCGACTTTCTTCCTGGCGGAGCCCGACGAGCTGATCAGTGTGGAGTTTGACAGCGTGGACATCGACTGCAGCGCAGGAGACTTCATCACAGTGAGAGGGCTGCACAGTGATCACCTTTAACACCCGCAAACATCTTTTTAAGTTATTTGAAATGTTTATATGGGAGGGGGGTGTGATTCTGCAGCCAATCCAGTGATTGCAAAAAACGATTTGCTAAGATGAGCAACATTTTCTGAAAAGCTCTTTAGAAGCATTGAGTTCAACCTTCATGCTCAACAACACACTCCTGGGCTCTAGCTGGAAAGTAAAACTTCAGAAACACTTTTCTCTTGAGCACAAGGCTGTTCAGAAACATGTCAGATCCTAAAGGAGCTCCACCCATCACTGTTACCGAGGTAACGTTGCCTAAAGCAGCAGGTCACCTAAGCAGCTGCCCACGCTCTGGCCACCGGAGCAGATAGCTTGACTAATTAGCCAGCTGATATTAGCTTCTTATGCTCCCGGAGTTCATAGGTGAAACATTTTTATGTTTTTTTTTTTTTTTGTGCAGTTGGTTGAGTGTGATACTGCTACACAACTTAACAGGTATTTTTGCTTAAGTCTAAATATGAGAATAAAAAACAAACAAACAATAAATAGCTTTTATTCGAATCAGTTATTTCAGGGAAATGAATGATAATTCCCTCGCAGAATAATTGCTGCTTTCCTCTTTAAATGAGAAAAGCTCTTGTTACAGATTTTGTTTTCAAATATTTATGTTGATATACCAGCAATTCATCAATGTGAAAAAATGTGGGCCGATACTGATATCCAATATTTGTCATCTGATATTATCGCTGCTCTTACATAACCTATCCTTTCGACACCTACTTTGCTTCAGTTAAATTTCCCACAATCCTGTGCTGCATGCCTATCTGAGTCAAATGACCAAACAAATATCAAGGCGGAAACAAATACCGGTTGTTAACATCAACCGGTATTTGATATTAACAAATATCACCGAGATAACGTTGGTGATATTTGTTGGTGATATTTGTTTTGACATATCGGCCGATACCGATATGTTGAAAAAATGACAATGCAGATGTTGGTGCCGATATATGTGCATCCCTAATTTTCACTGTAGCTTATTTAGCCCAGAGTTATTATTTTTACGTTTTGTCCATTTTATGTAAAGCTCTGCTCCTGCGCTGCTTTAAGTAAAAAAAAAAAAAAAAAATCATCTCTTGTTGTTTGCGAACCTGTCCTGTAAAGATATTTGACGGCTGGGTGATGAAGGGCGAGAAGTTCCCCAGCTCCCAGGATCACCCGCTGCCTTTGCACGAGCGCTACGTGAACTACTGCGACTCGGGCGCCGCGGGGAAAAGCGTGCGTTCCTCCCAGAACGTGGCCATGGTCTTCTTCCGCGTTCACGGCGCCGGCAGCAGCTTCGCAGTGACGGTCAGGAAGCACGTCAACCCCTTTCGTAAGTATCATTCAGAGAGAACCCCCTAAAGCAAGTGAACGAATCGGCGTGTCTGTTGAAGGCCCGCTCCAGCTACTGTGTGAGAAATGAAGAATGGAAACAAAAAGGCCCTCCTTTGTCATGAGGTGCAAACACATCGTTCGTCCATCCAGCATGTATCTAATGTTTGGATCCATCTGTCTCCCCTGCAGCCTGCAATGTCATCTCACAGTCACCAGAGGGCAGTTACACAATGGTGACGCCACAGCGGCACAGAAACTGCAGCTTCTCCATCATTTATCCAGTGGCAATCGACATCTCAGAGTTCAGCCTGGGACACCACAGCAACTTCCCCAAGGTAAATAGAATAAGATGAGATAAACTACATTAAAGGTGCAGAATTAGAACTCCTGACTCTGGAAGTGTAAAAGCCTCGTTCAGACTTTAACATAACTGAACAGTTTATTTTGTGTTATCTATGGACCACAGCATGCAGCCACAGCGGAGTGTGGATCACGTCAGGTTATTGACTTTGCAGTGAAACGCTGCTGTTCCTTTAAAACTGAAGGTGGTCTATTTCTCACCTCATGTCCTTTAAAAAAAACAACAACAAAAAAACCCCACTGTGAATTCAGGTCTTAGCCACACTTAGGTTGGTTTTTATAAAAATTAACATCTCCATCACATCGCGTTAAAAAAAACAACTACCTTACGCACAGCATCGGATAGAGAAAAGGAACGCGCACAAATTCGCCACTGAGCGTTTTAAACATGCCAAAGCTGCACACCTATGACAGCCAATCAGAATCCTTCAAAAAAATTGTTGCATCTTTTGAGAGTTTTCTCAAATCTCCACATTGGTCGTAGTTTTCAGGATTTTCAGTGATATTCAATAAGAGTTTTTCGTGTGGATGGAAGACGAAAGTGCACAAAAATGTATTTGTCTTTGACTCTTTCTAGTGAGTTATATTTGCTTGTTATGGTAGTGTTAAATTTTTTTAGCTTGTTTAAAAGCAGCTAATATTTCCCCCCCTGCATGACATAACTCTGCATCTGAATTTAGTTTGAATCCATAAACATTCGCAGAGTCTAAAGCAAAAACTCGTCAGGGAGGGACAAGCTTTTGTTCTAAAAACAAATCCAGTCTGAAACACTTCATAGCAGTTAATGCAAGCATCACAGAGAAACCAAGATGGCGGCTGGAGGCAGTGTAGCCGTCTGATTTTAAATTAAAGGCATTTTAAAACTGTCTTGGTCTTTTTGACTGCTGCCTTGCTTTCATATCAAGCAGCTCTTGTTTCACACAGGAAGACCATTGGTGGCACACCGCCTCCAGCCTCCGTGTCCCATGCGACTAATCTGTGTTGTACATTTCCACCCAATGCAAGCAGCACAAGATTCAGAAAATAGAATTCACGTAACCCACCGGGACATTTCTGAGATTGGTGTTACCACTGCTTTTGGTGTCTGTCCAAAGCTTTTCAAGGTAGGATCATTTTTACCACAAATCGCCAAAACCCATTCTAGATTTTTTTCTTTTTCTTTCCAATATCGGGGCCGATACAAATATCGATATCAGATCGGAGCATCCCTAAGATGAACTGAATTGAATTGAGCTGAAATGGTCACAATTTCTATGTGCTGGTGTCTACAGAGATCCTTACCTGGTTGTGCAGAATCCGGGGATTACGTGCAGCTGCTGGGAGGAAGTGGCATCGACACGTCTAAACTGCTTCCCATCACAGACCTCTGCATCTCCTTCACTGGACCCAGTAAGCGCGCGCTTCCCTCCCCTCCTCATTAATTTGCCATTATCTGCGTTTCCGTTGGCCGTGTTATATTGCAATTTGACATTTTGAAAACAAATTCCCTTAACGGAAATTTTGAAAAGTTTTGGCGCCAGCATGAGGTGGTCTCCACACGATCGACCACCGGATGTTCTTTAACGACTTCTCATGTGAACAAGTGTATTCACATGTGATTCTAACTGCACGGAGACACTGGCGTTATTCCCCAACCCCCCCCGCCCGACGTTAACGTCTTGCACACGCGTGTAACGGAAACGCAGCTGATGTGACGCCGCCGCTGACCCCGCTCAGACCTAACGCATCGCCTCTTCTTCCTCTCCCGGCCCCGCCCCGCCCCACCCGGCCCCGCCCCGCGCAGCCCGCATGAAGATTGGCTGCGACAACACGGTGGTGAGGATGGTGTCCAGCGGGCGCTTCGTCAGCCGTGTGTCTTTCAGCTACAGGCTGCTGGACGGCCAGGAGCTGCAGACGATCAAACTCAACAACGTGGAAGATTTCTGTTTCAGCAACTGATCCCGGCAGGGGGTTCACGGCGTCACACGCATCGCTTGACTGCCAAACATTTCTAAAGTCACTTTTTTTTTCCTTTTCTTTGTTTGTTTTTTTTTTGTTTCCCCTCACCCAGACTAAAATCCGAGGAGATTGAAGTAAAAATGAAAACTAATAAATATCATAAGGTTGTGACATTCACTGGCATTTTGAATTCATTCCCCCTATTCTCTCATTTTAATACTTTTTTAAAAAAATCTTTTTTTTTATGGCTCACTGTTGTAGCATCTCAGCTGTCCCTTTGGTTTAACGCCTTGTTTGTAACGTGTATTTATTATCGACGTGGGATCATTGTGATCCTTTAAGATGAATGGTGCTAAACGGAGCGCTGCGTCTGTCCGGTTTGTGCGAGTCCGTTCATGTGGCGCAGAAAGCGAAATAAAAGAAATGTGAGTATCTGGCGCCATTATGCAGTTAAATTTGGTTTAAAAAAAAAACACACACACTTTTGTAATAAATTTATACTGCATGGCAAAGCATTCAGTGGTGGCTGTCTTATTTCAGTTGACACGAAATATTAGGCTTAGTAAGAGGAGCGGTAGAGCAATCAAAAATTTGAGTTCAATTGCAAAAAAATAAGATTATTTTCCTATTAACTTCTGTAAAGATAAGAAACAAATCTAAAAAGTTATTGAACGTAGCACAAAGGAAACTTGATGTGATGCAAAAGCAATATCATCAGCATAATGAGTGATGGATGGTAACATATAGACAATCAAGTCCTCAGCTATAATTCAGGCTCATAACCACTAAAACTGTGAGCCAGATTCCATGAAAATTACAACAAAGTTTTAAAAGCTTGTCAACGTTTTTTCTTTTTTAAGTTAGTGGCTGTGAATGAAGGCATTTTGTTTTAAGGTTGTCCGCGCTTCTGTTCCAGTGGCGTTTCGGAGCGGTTCAGTGTCGCATCTTTGGGATTTCCTCATTTTTCTCGCACCTTCAACATGTGGCGTCGTTCAGCACTTAAAGGTACAGACCACGGTTCACCTTGACCTCGCGTCCTGACCTCCTCACAGGGGTTTTAAGAGCAAAGCGTTTCCGAAATGCTCAAAGAAAAAGCGTTCCAAGTTTGGAAATAGAAAAAGAAAAACACTCACTTAGGATGAATGGATGGCGAGCGTCTTTCATTGTTCAGCCAAAGGTCCTCCTGCGTAATTGTATTATTTTATGCATCTCTGATCTGGAACACCTGCAGGCATTGCATTAGCTCAATCCGTTTGGCAAAACATTGAAATGAATGCAATTTAATGGTCACTGACCGCAGAGACAATGCAATTCTTAGACAAACCAAAAAAAAGAAGCAGATTATCATTTTGGATTGTGGAGAATGGACAGTGAAACATGAATAATCGATGAAAAGGACAGACGTGGTTTAAGCGTCGGCCTTTGTGTCGGTGCTCTGGTCTTCTCCGGGTTTCCAGGGAGTTTCTCCTGCCACGACGAACAACGCTGCCGTCACCGTTGACCGTTTCTGCTCAATCACTTCCTCCCACTGTGGCAGCAGGTGAAAGCAGGAGCTGATCTCCGACCAGAGGAGGCGGACGCGGCGCAAGTCCTGCAGGAACTTTATCTTTGACGGACGCCTGCAGCCGCGGTTTGGGGTGAACGGCACGAAACAAACAGCTTTTTGGTGCTGTGAAACTCCCCTCTGCTGGTCTGATGTTGCATTGAATTTAAGCCGTGAAGCAGACCGAGTATGACGGGAATTATTCCATATTCAACCCCCTGTTCACCTTAATGGCTTCCCATGTACAAAACATTAAATATTCTTAAAAAAATAAAAAAGATTAATACCTGATTTTAGGCCACCTTCAAAGTATTAGGTTTAGATAAATAAAAATCATCATCAACTGCATTTTACACACATTATTTTGGTTTCCATTACATATTTTGTTTCAGATTTCAGTAAAGTGCTTTAAAATGGTGAATAGGGGCTATGTAAATACAATGATTTGAATTCACAAAGAAATAGAAGTAAATCAACTTTTTGCTGTCAGTCCTTTGTTAATGTATTTGACCGCCATCATTAATCAAAGTAATCTCTATATTAAATATGTTTTTTAATAGCTTGTTATTTTACAAAAACAATAACAACACAGCTGCAGGGTGTTGTAAAATATTTGACCAAGATTAGTACAAAATGACAGATATTAGCGATGAAATACTATTATTTTACTATTAGCATGCTTACTGATGTTCGTAGGAATATTCACAATATTAGAACTATTGATATTCAAATTTATTGAATGGGTCTGTGCATTTTGGGGAGAAAAGAAAGTTCAGTAAAAGGCAATGAAAACATAAACACTTGTTTCCTTTTAACAGCGCTTCATTCTTGTTTTCTTTTTTCTTAATACGAACAGATCCACATTTCTATAAAATGTTGTTTCATAACAAGGCAATTTTTTTCCTTCAGAAAGTAAAAAAATAATAATAATAAAAGAAAAACCTGTTCCTTCCCACTGTCACCTGGTGCTTGCTGACTCGGAGGCGTGTCAGTGACGTTTCAGTTCAGGCCAACCTGCTGTTTTCTTTCAGGAGATAACCTTTAAGAAACTGTCATTTTAAGAATACATATGAATGAATAAGCTCTGATTGGCATGGCTTGTCATTTTTCCCAAAATAAACTGCGACTAGATTTGATTCCACTGGATTGGATTTCAGAAAATTGTACTAAATGAAACGAACATAGGCTGAATTCAACGCAATGTAGCCAAATTGGAGCTCTTCCTCATATGAAGTGGTTTTAGATGATGTATGTTGTATAAAAAGCCGAAATGAAAGAAATAAACCGAATTTCTGATACTTCCCTTTACGCTCAGTGAGGCGTTCAATGGCCCATTCCGACCGTCAGACAATGGGATTTACTGGTTGCCCTGCGGTCCAGCCGTTATATCTAAAAGTAATGTAGTTATTTAAATTGTGGCCTAAAGCCGAACATCAGTCACATCTCGTTAACTGAAATGTTTTAATCACTGCAGACAGAGCCGTGTTTAAGACTGACAGGTTGCTGTCGGTGATGGTAGCTGCACTGAGCTTGGCTGCTGCGCTGCAGATTGAGGAAATTAGGCTTGACATTTGAATCCAGCATCTCTGATGGGAAGATTATCAACAATTTGTCTCTCAGCGTGAGCTCCGAACAGATACAGACGCTCGATGCTGTGCGTCTCAAAATACCACTAAATACATATTCATATTCACAGGAAGTTTCACACTTTAAAAACACACTTTAAAACAAATCTTTCACTGTTTTTTTTTTATTGCTGACATACATGCATACGTAGAAATAAGAAGAAGAATGGAAGGTTTTAGTGCGTTACAGTGAAACTGACGTATGTTTGGTTAAGTTAAGGTTGAATTAACCAGGAACTGGGGGGTCAAAAGTTATCAAAACTCTGTCTGCTTATTGATGTCTTCAAAAATGTTAATAAATGCTTGCTCTTAATGTTTTGTTTGGTGAAATGAATCTTAACTAAATAAAAAAAAACCTCACAATTGAGGTACAATTAGTTAGGATGTAGTTCCATCTTAGAATATTGTTTTCTCACAAATTAAGTTTTTTTTATAGAGAAATTAAGATTTATTTACAGATTTTTTTGCCTGTTGCCTGTTATGACATGCAATCTGTTGTACTGTATTTCTTAATTTTTGTTACTTTTTATGGCTATTGTTTTTACATGTTTTGTATACTGCACTTAAATATGGAAATATTACACTTATTGTCTGTAAAAACACCCACAATGAGAAAACAGTAATAAAGAATAATGTCCTGCTTTTCAGTTTTATGTTCTTCTGATTTTCTTTGTAAACTGCAGGAAGACGATACGAATGCTGTCAACGGTTTTCCTCAGCGCAGACGTCCTCTGCGTAATTAGCTCTGTGCGATTCATCTGTGAGGTCTTAAATTACCTGGCAACCAATCAGTCGCCTCCGGCTGCATTCAGGATGTTTTCAGGAGCTCAGTGACCTCCCACATTTAACCTTCCCACTTTCTAAACTAACCAAGCAGTCCTACGTATGAGCCAAGAAAAAGAAAGCGCTTTGCACGCGCACACAGAAGGAGAAACATGCAGGTCACTCCTAATGAGTTACGAAACAAGCGATGACGCACAAAGTGACGAAACAGAAGAACGGACAGCATGGGGGAGATAAAGGCTGGAGGCCTTTTTGAAAGACATTTGTCACAGGTGGCAGCTTCGTTTGGACGGATGTCACATGTAGGAAGGAGAGACTGTCCTCGTAACTTTTGAAACGGGGGCCACCACCCGATGGAAATGAACGCCGTCTCTATATTGACATCTGAGCTGCTGTCCGAACGGATGCAAGCGGGAACAACTCTCAGTCGATCAACTCACTGCACAAACCTCGGGGATCAAGGTTGAGGGTCGGGGGTGGGGGGAGAATACGGAGTCAAACGAAAGCACCAGTCCATCATCAGCAAATTCCACCGACTCTTGGAAGCATTTTGCTTCTGAAAGCAAAACGTTTCCAGGAGTCGGTACAAAGGAGGAAGCTCAAAGTGAAGACAGTGTAAAGGTTTGACACCAACAAAGACACACAACGCTTTAGGCTGATCATCAGGACTCTGAAGGGATTGAGGGAAATGTTTCTGCTTGTACAAAAAGCCAGAGGCAAAAATCAGCTTAAACAGTCCGACTCAACCCAATTTGACATTTTTGATGAGAGAATATTCAGAGGAGTGCAGTTGTTGCCCGTTTCACAAAACACAAAATCTTTTCATAAGAACGTCTGAAAGACTTCCCCTCTCACAGCTATGCCCAGTACTTTATGAGTCCCTATTCAAGCAATCGATCTCTTGCACATGTGAGCTTTCGAAATACACCCCGGGTTTTGTGGAACCAAAGGAGATTAAGGATGTTTTCACACCTGATAGTTTGGTAGACTTGGTTCGACCAAAGTTGCAACATTTGTCACATTTTCAGCTGGCGCGGTTTGCTTTCACCCGCACCAGCATCAGCATCACCATCACCAAATGAGCGCAACTTTATCCCTCACAAAATGGAAGCAAAAACGGACAAGCATCAGATGTTAGTGGTTATGTCTTTGGTAAAAGACCAGGAGTCATTTCTTCCACAAGTGGAAGGAAGTTCTTTGGTCTGATACCACAAACATATCGTCCACATCGAAGCACGGTGGGCATCGAATCTTGGGGGCGCTTCTCAGTGCCGGGTTCTGGAAGGATTGTAAAGGCAAAAGGTAAAATAAACAGCAAACCATAGGAAAGTACTAGAGGACCATTTGTTTCCATCTGAATAGACCAAGAGAACATTTATTTCCCAGCAAGACAACAGCCTAAAGCATCCAGCTAATGCCACACAGAAATGGTTTGAAGACAACAAGGAGGATGCTCTGGAGATTTGTGGTGGCAAACATTCGTTCAACTTATTTAGAATATTCTTGAGCTCGTTTGCCTCTCAAGTCGTCTTTCATCTGCATCAGCATCCCACATCTGTTGGAATAAAAAAAGACTCCATCCTTTCTCCTTCTAGATTCTTAAATTGCATCTCGTGGTTAGAAACTCTCGCAAATCCAGGTGCAAACAGCCCGAGCTGTTTTGTGATCTTTTTCCGTGTAATTGGAGTAATTTTCCTCCCACACGAACAAGACGATTATAGTGACCCAGGAAGCAACGAGGCGTCCATGACTCAAACTTTATGATCTCCAGGAAAGACGGAACTCTGGAAGTTTCTCTCTCTCTCTCTTTTTTTCTTTTTTCCTGGACCGTGACGTCCACAGGAAGAGGATGGCAATCACAAGACTGAGAATATAAATATCCACATCTGAAAATCATGAATCGACACTCACGGCATTGATTACAACCTTTTTATAAATGCAAATAAAAAAAAACGTAATTACTTCATGGCATCTTCCCAGGGACGATTATCCTCCGTTTGATTGCTGTCAATCACAGACAAATTGCATTGTAATGCAGAGGAGGGCTGTTTTTTCTTTTTATGCAGGCGCCATCTGTTTGGATAAAAGCGCCACACTCATGCTTTAGTTTCAATAGTTTTCTCCCACGTCACTGCCGAGAATGTCAGAGCAAATTAGCCGTCTGCTCTCGGTATTTTGGGAAATGGACCTACAGAGGAAAACCCTTACAGCCCGAGTCACTTTTGTCCTCGCTGAGCCGGGGACATTAGGAGCTTGGCTTGAGGGGCTGGGGGGAGACGCGTCGGCTCGTTTGGCTGGTGAAGCAGGACCCAGGTGGCCCGTGAGGACCGAGACCACCATGCTCCACTGGTTCAAGCTGCCAAGTTATTTCCCGAAGAACACGAGGCTTCTCACCTCGAGAGACGTCCACGGAGGGATGAAGGCTGAGCAGTTAGCTCTGGCTGGAGGTTTACCCCCACTGCTCGCTGGCATGAATGTAGCACTAACGTAGATGGAAAAGAAAATCCTCCATTTTTGTTTTTGTTTTTGAGATATCAGAAATTTCTAGGAAAAGATGTGGAAGTTTTAGAGTTTGAAGTGATAGAAAATTTGTTAAGAAAAAAAGCTCAATTTTTGAAACTTTTTGTGGGAAAAAAAAAAATTTCGTGTTGAGTGAAGATGTGTGTCAATCAACTCGACTATGTTTGTGCAGCAAAAATTTTTCCTTTGTGCTGCTATCATTCTAAAGATATGACGAAAAATGTTTCCAGAGGTCATCAAAGGTCAGTGAAGGCTGGTTGACCTTTAGATTAAATTAAAATTTAATTAAACCCTCAATTTAATTGGTCTCAAATTGAACATTTGAGACAAATTTTGTTTGATTTCATAAAAGTGGGGAGGGGACTGGTTGACCTGTTGACCTTTTAGCATAAACACAAAATTTTGCTGTACATACCAGCATAAACGCAGCACAAACGTCTGACACCCATTTTGTCTGATTTGAAGAAGTTGGGGGGAGCAACTTCACTCAGGTGAAAAGTTTCTGTTTTAAAACGTCTAAACTTTAAACTTTTAGTTGCATTTAAAAAAAAAAAAAATTTACTCTCTTTTTTTTGTTTGTCACCTACGAAGCCACTGGAAATCTCTGGTAAAAATTCTATTTCTTAATAGGAGTGAAAGAATTGTGACATTATTTAAGCAAGTTTTAATCAGTGTTTCGGATTGTGGTCCTTCTGAAAGACATATGTGTGAAAGATTTAAATATTTTTGCTTCAAATGTCAACCAAAGTTGGTATGTATGAACCTGCTTGTGTTGCTCAGGTTTAAATCTTGAATTAAATCTTGGAGACATACGCACCTGTGTAGGCATGATGGCAGTTTAGGGCTTTTGCTGATTAAAAGCAAAAACTTTGCCGAAAAACTGCCGAATTAATCTAAAAAAAAAAAAATCATGTTCAGGTTTGAAAATTTCTGAGTTTCAAGAGTAAAAATAAAATGCAGAAAAGCTTGGAAGTGTTGTTCCAAAAGTCATATATTTTTTACTATTGAATTTTTTAACTTTTTCCATGTCTTTTTACCTTCAGGTCCTCAACAGACAGAATCAAACTCTGCTATCAGAGGCATAAAACTAAAATATGAAACAGAGTTTTTGTTTTGTTATCAAATCTTTCCCTGCGCTTTTTAAAAAAATTAATCACAGCCTTTTTTTTTTTTTTATTTTGGCTGGGAGTTTTATTCTGGTTGTTTTCAGCGAATGGTAGAGATGATGCGGTAACTTCACTCAGGCTTAACGTGAACGCAGCGGCTTTCAAGAACAAATCGGAACTGAAGTCAAATCCATAGAGTTTTATTGAAAAAAACCAAATAGCATCTGGAAAGACACGAGCGTCTAAACAAGAGCCGGGACACACAGCAGAAGGGAACAATGCTAAACACGTACACTTTTCCATGACTCCAGCCTCTCCTGGGAGCTGAGAGCTGAACTGACAGGGGAGAAAAATGTTTCCTGCCTAATGAACCATCGGGGAAAATATCAGATATTATACATTTAACATTTACAGTTGAGGAAGAAGGAGAGCGCATCGACTGGGGCATCTGTTGGGACACAATCAGGACATGCAGACGTCGTTTCAGGTGGCGACGATGTTTTTTCCAAGGGAAATGTCACGGAGCTAATCAGCAGTAGCAACTACTCTTTTTTCAAGCAGATAAAGGAGTCTAGTACAAGACGCGAGTGACTGAGCTGCGGATTTGAGATTTGCATTTGTTTCCAGGTGTCTATTTGGCGTTCTTGTTCTGCTCCTGGAAGAAGTCGTTGCAGGCCACGGTCAGGGCCGCCACCAACACGACGAACTCGTTGAAGTCCACCTCGTTGTCTTTGTTGGAGTCCAGGTCGTTCATGATTTTCTCCACCAGCATGGGATCTTTCTGAGACTGGGAACAAACACAAATAAGGACAAAAAAAGTGAGGCAAAACCCCCAACCAAAAAAAACCTGATTACATTTCGCTCATCCTACTTAATTATTGGTACCGGAGAAAAAAAAAACATTAATATTAATCGGTCTGATCCCTTAATTACCAATTAAAAAAACCTTCAAGACCTTCAACGAGTTATTCTTCATAAATTCAAACCAACATCTACATGTATTCTACATGGAGACGCCACTGCTAAGAATACCTCGAGCTGCAGGTGTCATGCCAGGCCACTATATGGCACTGTGATTTTAGCATGTCATCGTAATAATGAATGAATCAATGTTTGATTCATTAACCAAAATTGTGTTGAAGTGAGTAGTCTACACAGCACAGCACAGCTCTATCCGAACCTCCATTGTTTTTATCTGCCAGTGTGTGATCCTGCTCATGTATGCTTCACACCAGTGGAGAACTTCACACGGAGGCTTCAGAGTCCAGTGACCAGACTTTGAAGTGGCCAGTGACCGACTTTGGTCACTGATGTCATGTAAACACACAGCTACTTTGATCGCAACAAATAGGTTGCTGAAGAGCAGCTTCATCTAAACGGAGACTTCCAGACGAAGAGGTCAATGGACAACTTGCACACTGCGGAAATGAAAAAGGTGTTTACCCTGCACAAAGCCGTCCATAAGAGTCAGTTTGATATCTTCTGAGTGTACTGAAGTTAAAGTAAAAATAACATTAACCCATAAGGTATTGGCTACACCCCATGATGTCACTACGCCACATCGAATAAGCTGCGTTAGCCCGGTGTCCCTCGTCGATTTGACCTCAAGGTGGATAGTCGATAATTGTACTATGCAGAGTTTCCGGTATGAAAGGCAAGTCCAAGAGCTGCATTTTAGTTGTTTGCTAAGAAGGAAAGTAGTAAATGTCATTATGGAACAACCACTGGTTTCATTGAAAATGTAAATCTTTATATGTAAAGTGTAGTAAGAAATCAGTTCCACTAAAATTTGACTGGAAATAAAACTGTTTTAAATTAAGTGGACGAAATGTAAAGGCTTTAAATAGGAATAATATTGATACGTAGGTCCTCAAATGTAGATACTTTGTGTAGAAAGAAGCGCCCCCTACTCTGATGCTATGACTGTTGCCGTTGCCGTTTTGGTAGCCTGATGGTTTGAAGAGTCTCACTGTCTTCTGCAGGGTTCTCTTGTCTTGCCGTCTCGCCGCTTTGGTTTTAATTACTGGAATTAAGGACTTGGTACAAATTTGTCATCTCTGTCCACCAGGGAGCAGAGGGAAAATGCTGTCGAATGGCCCCAGAGACGCATTTCCTTTTTCAGCCTCCTGACCTCGGAGGCAGTCTCAACATTTCACCAAAGGTCCAAGCTGACACAGAAGGCGATTCGGAGAAATGTCAAATTGTGCCTTACGCTCCATTTTTTTCTGCACAAAGTGTGTCAAAAAAAAAAAAAAAAAACACAAACCATGAGGGAGGAATGTCGCTGATGATGTAACAGTTTGTAGAAGCGAGGGATGTGACTTTGCTGTAAGTCATGTTTGATCGAGACAGTTCGAGTTGTTGAAGCTCGTCTGCTCTAAACCAATTCGTTTTGGGGTATATCTGTTTCCAAATGTCATTTTTATTAGACGGACAAATTCTAACAGTGACTGTGTTTTCATGAACAGACGTCAGGAATGATTTTCACCAGAATTTAACTGGAGTTTTGGAGGGTTGGTTGGCAAAGAGCAGTAAGGCTAACACAAGATGTGTGGCATATCACTAATTAATCGTCTTGAAGTTGAGTTAGAATTTTATCTAATATATATATATATATTTTTTTGTGCTGAGCACATGCAGTCCAGCGTAAAGTTTGTCTCCTTTTCTACCAGGCATCGTTAGCGTTTCTCGACTGAATGAAAATTATTTCTAAATACATTCAGGGGTAAGAAAATTGTTGACCAAGAAATTGTGTTAGCTCTTTTACTGGAGCCGAAAAACTACGCTGCAGCTTCGGACCCCTGACCCATCAGGGACCTCTTACTTTGACTCAGGCCATAAGTTTATCATTTTTAAAAATGTGTTAATTGTGAATGAGTGTTCCACTACATTTGATTTCAAGGTTTCAGCGAGAGTTTTAAATAGTTTAACATCTCAATTAAACAATTTAAGTGAATTGGCAAGTATGTTTTGAGAAACTGCAGTGAGGAATCGTCACTTTCCCGTCAGACGTTACTAATTTAATTGTTGCTTTCTCAGTCCGTCCACAAACTGCGTCTTAGCGAATGACAGCCAATCATTTGCAAGTGCCCTTAAGATCGATCAATCAAATTTGGCCACGTCTCCCGCACTCCGACAAATCCGTACTGAGCTCCGTCGGCGGAGGGGAAGTCAGAGGATAACCGAACAGCAAACATAAAACGAAAACACCTAGAAGCATTTTAATCAGCAGCTGAACTGAACACATGGTAATCTATCAAGTCCTGCGTCTCATGGGACAAGTGGGGGTCATACGTCTCTCTCGGCACGAGCCGCCGGTAGACGTCCTGTCCCCGGTTGCGTCTTTCTCTCAAGGGTGAGTGTGGCTCACAGGGCCGCGGTGACATCACGTCTATATTTGGAGTCGATACGGGGGCCACTCGTGATTTATATGCACCTGAGGCTTCCCGTCCACGTGGACGGAAGGAGAAGGAGCGGCGGAGAGAAAGACGTCTGAAGGTGTCTGAGGTTTGAGGCGCTCGGGTCGTTTCAGGCTTCAATCATTGGGAATTGCAGGCTTTCCGTGCCACTATCACTCCGGCCCAGAGTGGGGACTTATCTCAATTGACCCCATTTGTCTCCCCCCGCCCCGCCCTTCCACTCTGTCAACACGCGATGATGTGAGAGCAGCGAGTCCACTCTGACTGCAGGATAGCCATCGGTGAAAATCGATTTCCTCTCGCAAGGTCAGAATGGTAAATTATCTGTAAAACGCCGTCGCTTCCACCGAAGAGCCAAATAAACCTAGAGCATGTTACTGCACTTATCATATAGTTGGGTAAGTCTGCAACCCGAAGGAAGAACTTTGATGCATTACATAAAAATTGGGGGGGGGAGAGGACACCACATCCATGGGTCTACTTTACCGTGAGGAAGTCTGTGAGCTCGCTGTGCAGCAGCTCCTTCAGCTCGCCCTTGTTGAGCTTGTGCTTATCTCCATCGTTCCCAGAGTAGTTGTAGAAAACCGTTATCAGCGCGCCCATGGCACCCTCAAGCTGGCTCGGCATTCTGCTGGAAGATAACTCCTGTGGGCCCCTGGAAACAAACAAGAACAACAACAAGAAAAAAAGGGACAGGCGGTCAAAATAAGAAAGATAAGTCGATCACTCGCGAACGAGAAAACGTTCCGCCGACCTGCTCAGAATCCTTCTCAAGTGTCGCGCCGCAGCTGTCTTGCTCGGGAATGAGAAGGAGCCGGGCGGGCGATCCTCTATCTTTGCTGAGATAATTAATTCCACAGGTGAGAAGGGCATGGTAACTGTCTGTCTTTCCAGATTTAATTAGTGCCCTTAAGTGAAAAACAAAACATGCACCGGCGCAACCCAGGAGAGCCTGTGGGAGTTGATCAGGGCCTGAGCCACACAGGGGCCTTCACACACACACACACACACACACACACACACGTCTGCATCACTTGCTACATCCCAGACGTGACTCCTACACTTCTTCAACGGGAGGATGGGTTGAGACCTGTTCCTGCTGTCAATGATGACGATCATTACCAATGTTCCACTCACCTCCATTCATGCTTCATGTCTCTTCTAACAGTCTGAGTTTGTGGTTAGTTGAACTCATGTGGCAATTTGTTATAGCCGTACACCTCCGGGTTTGAATCTGGACTTTGACTACGCCCCTGAGGAAAGACTGTGATGCTGTTTTTATTGTTACTTGCAACGAATGGCGAAATGCGTCACAAACACTGGAATGATGCAAACATCAAAAGACGAAAACAAATAAAACAAACTTAAGGGAAAGTTTTCTATAATGACACTTCAGACAAAAGCGGAAGTTTTTTTTTTGTTACATTATAAAAGCATTTCAAAATAAGATCTTGTAAAGACATTTTTTGGTGGCCCATGTGAGAGTGTGGATTCACTTCCTCCAAATAGTTTCACGGATTGTAACTTTTCAAACTTCTCTACCCATTTGATCCGAGTCCATATTTATTATTTTAGTTATTCCACATCATTTGTTTATATGTTTTATTTTTCTTAGCTTCAGTTCAACCCAGCATCTTCCTCACAGCATGTTCAACACTTATTCCTCCTCAATCATCTTCAGCGGTTTTACAAATCCTGCCCAGCCTTTCCTCACGTCTGCCATGGAAACCAGAGGGACGTGTCATCAGGTCTATCGAACCGCTTTCTCGGTTTCACCTTGTGGTTCCGAGTCGCCATGCTCTCATTGTTGGGTTTATTTTTAGCCTTTCCAGCCCGCCTCCTTTTGTCATTTCGTATCCGACGGTCCTCCTCTGACACCGTGTCACGGCTGACGGTGGAGAGCAACGCCCTCCTCAGCCTTCAACCACCTCCGTCTTGCTCCGCAGAGATGGAAGTTGTTCAACTTCAACTTTTTTTTTTCCTTTTATGTTTTTTCTCCTCCCCCCGCTGCCATGAAGGGAATCGTTCTCCATTTGTCAAAGGTGACAAAACAGTTTCCCCTTCAGAGCTGCAGAGGGTCAGCGAGCAGGAAGCGACCTGTCCAGAACCCGAGCACTGGTACCGAGATGTTTTCAAACGCATGCAGCAAAACTCAATCAACTCTGAGCGATGACAGATTTCAGCATGCAGTTGACGGGAAGGTTAAACATTGATCGAATTCAGCAAAGAAGAAATTGATCAGTTTCTTCCTGCATGCAAAACAACAGCCACTGGTTCACCCGAGAGTAACTAGTAGACTCAGTGAAATACTTCCTACTACATTCATTAAACTTTGTACTATTTGCTTGATGTTTAGGATTCACTGCAGTGTTGAGTGCATGATTCTTGCATGTGCCAGTAAGCACACTTGCAGGATTAGACTTTAAAGCTAAAGAAAACAAAACACGCGCCACTCCAAATACTTTTCAACACCGCTGTTAATTTAGAAATAAAACTGATTCTTGAATATAAAGTCATAATGACGTTATGCATTTCTTATTTCACAGTTTTGCAGCTGGCATAGACAGTTAGCTTGGTCACCGATTGTGGCGTTTAAACGATTTTCCTGTAATTGTAAGTCGTTTTTTTTTGGTTTGTTTGTTTTGTTTTTGGTTCTTGCCATCAGCGCATTCAGCAGGTGTAAATGAGCATCAAGACCCTCCTCCTGGCTCTGATTGGTTGTTTTTGGTCGGGAGCGGTGCATTTGCAGCAACGGTGGTGGAGGAGATGGATATTTTCTCAGGTCAGGAGTCTCATGACATAGAGTCACAACGTGGCGACAATTTGAACAAAAATGTAAAAAAGGAGAAACAAAGCATACTTTTTACATAAAAGTTACACACTTCACCTTTGGGAAGCATTTGGATCAGTTAATAATAAATCACTGAGTTCTGTATTTAATTTATTTCACAAATGAAAACTTTATCAGCGCCGGTATTTGTTCAGGAGTGGATTTCTGCTGCCCTCTGCTGGTCGACATGAAAAACAAAAAGCTGCTCAGAGAGACAAATTACATGGCCTGGTCTGTGATCAGCTGCCAATGTCACTGTTTGATAAATAATGGATAAAAATTCCTCACAAAAAGAAATAAGGATGTTAAGCGGTCGTTGTTTTGACAGCCACTTTAATCAACAACCTTCATCAAACGTGAGTTATATTTTTCCCGTGCAGAAAGAGTGGAGAGTTAATCCATAGACAGACATGACACATGGTCCACAGATTAGCCATCGTTTTGGTGCAACAGAACACACGCAGTCTAGGTCCATTTTTGTCTGAAAAATAAATACTCCTAAAGTGACAAGTATTGATTTCAACATGAAGTGGAGAAACAGTGAAGCGCACTGGATCACACGATATTCATCAAAACGTCAAAATTCTGCAGGATTAATTTGTGACACCATAGAGACGAGAGCTGCAGTCGCTGCTCCACTTCTGTCCGCTTCTTTTCAGTACATGACAACTTCCTCCATGATTAATGACTCTTTGGGGCTCATGATGTTTGTGTATGAGCATGTGTGTGTGTGTGTGTGTGTGGATTCTGACAGATCCATTGACAGGCCGAATGGTTAGGGGAGTGAAATACGACCTGATGATTCGTGTTTAATCGTTAGTCAATCTTCATGTAAGCAGAAATCGAAACAATTGGTTTCGTTTGCGACAAAGTCAGATTCACGAGAAAAGCGGAAGCTCTCGCTCCATGATTTGGGTCAAAAATGAGAGCTGTTGTGGCCCGGCTCCTGAGTCCTGGCTGCGGTCCTGGCACCCATGAAAAAGGGCCTTCACACACAGCCTTCTCTTAGAATGCAGAGGGTGGTGGTGATGGAGGGAGGTGGGGCTTAACATACATAAGAGGCGAAGACAGTCCGCCAGTCCAATTTGGCACGGCGTCACCAGACAATTTGCTATTGCTGAACCTTTTCAATTGGATCTTTTCAGTCATTCAGGACCTCTTTTTACCCTCTTTCGGGGTTTGTAAGAAAATTAAAAATACCCCTTGGCTCGGTCATTTCTGGATGAGAAACGGGACGACAGTGATGAGCGCGAGCAGGTTGCTGAGAACTGAGGCTTTGTCTTGGCTGACGGCTGTAGGAAACTTGTCCGAGGGTGAGTCCCACACCTTGGTCCTGCAGCCTCTCTGGGACTACCTCCACCAGAACCACCACGACCTGCTCAGGAGCCCTCTCTTCCCCGTGGTCCTCTCCGTCTCCACCTACTTCGTCCTGGTTGGTATTTACACTGTGTTGGACCTGCTGGCTCCCACCTGGCCCTCCGTCAACCGCTACCGGCTGCATCCGGACAAACCCATCACCTGGCCTAACATCTGGACCACCCTGGGCGTCACCGTCCACAACCACCTGTTCTTCATCTTCCCCGCAGCGATTGCGCAGTGGCTGTGGAGGCCGCCGACCCCGTTGCCTCCAGAGGCCCCCTCCCTCTTGAGCTTCTTTCTCGGCATCCTGGGCTGCATGATCGTCTTTGATTTCCAGTACTACCTGTGGCACCTCCTGCACCACCGGGTCCCCTGGCTGTACCGCACCTTCCACGCCATCCACCACCAGTACAACCAGCCCTTCAGCCTGGTCACCCAGTACCTCTCTGGCTGGGAGCTGTTCAGCGTGGGATTCTGGGCGACGGTGGACCCCATCCTGCTGAGGTGCCACTGCCTCACCACGTGGAGCTTCATGGTCTTCAACGTTTACGTCTCCACTGAGGACCACTGCGGCTACGACTTCCCCTGGGCCATGCACAACCTGGTGCCCTTTGGCCTTTGGGGCGGGGCCCCCAAGCATGACGCTCATCACCAGCGACCGGCGACCAACTTTGCCCCGTTTTTCTCCCACTGGGACTGGCTCGGGGGAACCAACACGGCGCCAACTGCCTCTGGCCAATCTGCCTCAGAAGAGCCAGAAGACATGAAAGAGAAAAAGGACTAACAGACTCTCACTGACTCAAACTCTTTTGGACCTTCTCACATTTCTTCACTCTTGTTTTTTTTTTTCTATCTACACTTTTGCACCTTGTCCCAGTTTTTGTCATCTTTCTTTGATCTTCTGTGTTTTTTCACTAACTGAATTTGTTGGAAATCTCTGTTGCACTTAAACTGTTTGCTAAAAATGTAAAGAGATTGTTTCTGTCTGCATTAATGGAAAGGGATGGCATATATTACTCCTACTTGCCTTATCAATTAGTAGGAAGTGGGACATTGATCAGCATATTAGATGTGTGTTAATGATTTTGATGACTGATTTGACACAATGTAATGTTTATTTCCTGTTTCACAGTTGGTGACTGTATGATGTTGTTGTGACGGGAAGCACTTTGAACTGCCTTGTTTCTGAAATGTGCTCAAAGAAATAAACTCATTTTCAAGACTTCTCTCTTCGCCTCCTTCTCAGGCTGTCTTTTTTTTTTGTTGTGCATCTGCAAAACCAATCAAAAGCAAATGAAGGGAAAGATCAAGGCATTCAAATCAGATCTGTGCCGTCAAACCTTCCCTAGTGCCTCATCTCGAGCGTTCGGTGGCGCGGACGCTCGTCCTCTTCTCTCCTCCAGCTTGCACACATGAATGGTGGTCTTTTAGCCGCGTCCCGGCATCAAGCGTGGTCGCAATGTTAATCCATCAATCTGCCTTCCCAGACAAAATGCTCTGGCTGGAAGAGCTCCTAATGAGGCTCCTCACAGAGAGGGGTCTCAGGAACGTTCAGTCTGCAAGTGGAAGTAAAACTAGTTTGGAACGTTTCGGAAACTTAAACCTGCAGAAATCTCCAGGATTCATGTTGACCATGTGTATGTTAGTCGCTTCCACCCCCCCCCCATCATGCAATTAAGCCACACAGCAGCATTAATTGGATCGTTCATTTCTCACTCCGAGACAAAGTTTCAGAGAACATTTACTTCTGTAACTTTTTGGAAAAAGAGTATTTTTTACTACATTGTACAGTGAAGTTTTACTTGGGTAATTTTACCATGAAGTATTGCTACTCTTACTTGAGCAATATTCCTGAATTAAACAAAAATTCACCAGACACAGGCGCAGTTTTTGTTAGTTTCATATCAAAAGAAACTGGTTATAATATATACTATACTAATATATTGATTTATATATATATTTACACTGATTGGTTTCTCCACTTTTCCACAAACCTGCATTGTTTTCTGGAACCAGCAGAAGTCACCCTCCCTGCACACACACATACACACATGTCCGCATTAAAAAAATAAAATAAAATGACTCCAGTCCCTAAATTTGACTATCAAATTAACCTGAATAACAAAAAGCACATACCTAATTTTAGACCATGTTTGGTTGCACATAAACTAAGTGACTCATGGAACATATAAATGAGTCACAGGCCATCGAAACCCCCGCACCACCGGCTGTTTACCACCATGCCACCGTGGTGACTGAGGTCAGAACTGGTTGAACTGGTTTCTGGTGTTGTGGGAAGCTGTTGGGACATGTCGGTGTGTCTGAAAGACTTTCTGACAGCCATTGTGAAGCTACATCTGAAGAGCAAGGAGCCTCCATTACATGATGCAATGTTAGCAGTAGTATGTGCAAAAATATGCCTCTGGTGGAAACAATGGATTAGAAACACATGACAAATTGTCAGGGGATCAGGCACAAACTTTTTCAAAGGTGTGTCTCCCATTACATTGAGTGTAAAAGTAGCAGCATTTCACAAAAAGGAACAGTTACAATTATAATGGCAGTGGGACCACTTTGTATGGGGCTAAAACGATGCCAAAACTGAAGAATGACAATGAACAGAAATATTGACATTTTAAAATTAACATTAACCGGAAGCACTGAAAAGTGCTGAAAGCGAAACAAAAATTGGTAACGAAACCCCAGGTACTGTATTTACAATATAGCAGAAAACTCATGACAGTTTCTCCTCTCTGACAGTTTGTTCAGTGTTGCGGGTTTTCAGTTTGAATGATCTGGACTGTTTTTTGTTAGTTTTTTTTAGCGTGTGTGGGCAGGTTTGCGGGGCGTGGTGGCGCCTCAGGACCACTTGCCATGTGGATTGATTACACAAGCAGACACTATGCTGACTGCGCTAACATTTTCTGCTCAAAGGTGTGCAAGGTTAAGGTGGAGCCTTTCAACCGAACCTCTGTGACTTCGTCGTCTTTTCCCGCTCTTGCCAACACGATGCAGAGAACTGAAATAAAACACAGCAACAATTCAGAAACAGTCAGTGAAAAGAAAGACTCAGTGTGAAAACAAGATCTTTTTTATTGTCTATAGTTTCAGTTGATCCTTTTCACTTTCTATGCAACATTTTCTGCACCGTATGTTTTTTTTTGTTTCAGAGTCAATATTAAGATTTTTCAGTCATAATTCTGTTTTCCGGTGCCGATATTTTTGGAAGTTTCACGTTATGTAGTCATTGTTTTTGCCCTCTAGCTTTGCTTCTGTCTGTCTGTCTGTCTGTCAGCTCATGACCCTGTAAGCTCAACGATAATGAGTTTATACAGCAGTTCATGTCTCAGTGGCTCAAAACACAAAAGAACACAATACAACAAAAGGGTTTAGAATGACCTAATCAAAGTCCAATTGTGACACTTTCTTTTAAAAAAGCTTAACTTTTCCAAAATGAAAAAAAATCCAGTGATACCGAATAAAACCTGTTCAACAGCAAAGACTGGGTCAAAATTCCTCTGCATGGAGGCTAACAGATGAATATCGGTCATTAAAAAAGCTTGTCGCCTCAAGGTATCTAAGAACCAGTTATTATGTTTGTGGAGGAGATTATAGAGGCCGGGTTAGCTTGGATAGCTTCTTCTCTCTGAACAAATTAAAATAAGCAAAATGAGGCGAATGTTCTCCATCCCAAAACTAAGCCCTTCTTTTCATTGTTTGTTTTCAAAAAATGTTTTGAATCACGTGTAATTTTCTTTCCAATTCGTAATCGTACGCCACTTTGTGTTGGTATTTGACATAAAGTAGGTTGTTTTGCATTGGTGTGTTTGTGCAGCAAAGTGCTTCTCCTTTTTTTAAATAACGCCCAGCACTTTCTTTTCATTACGTCAAAACTGTTCCTTGGAAAGGAGCCGCGTCAGCGGGGTAACGTGACCAGGGTGTGGCTCCGCTCTGAAAGGAAGGCCTTCTGCCCCGGAGCGTTGACAAAGGGTAAGGTGACACTCTACAGCCAATGATTTACCCACTGCTCTGCCCCGACCGGTCGTTAAAACAGGAACCTGGCGGCTCTGTGGGACGGTGGAGCCCTGTGAAAAGTGTGGCGAGCGCCAGAACGTGAAGGCTTGCCGATTCTCTTGACGTGAATGACCAGATAAGAAGCACTGAGGCCTTTTTTTTTGTTGTTTCGGGAAAGAATGAGTAGAAGCTGTAACATTAAAACAAGCATCAGGACCAGAGATCCAACAATGAAACTAGACACAAGTTTCCAATTGCAGGAAAAAAAAAAAAGCGAACACTGAAACCAGCGAGATGACGACTTCCCAAGATCGTCTGTAAAATGTGTCTCATCACGCCTTCTGACATTCCTCAACCCGGAGCTTACTAACCCTTCTTCGAATTGATCTTTGACCTGCTCTTCGGTGTGCCGCGGTGCTCCACATTTCAACACAGCACATTCCAGAAATTCCAAGGGTTTCAAAAGATTAAGTGAGCTAAGAGGAGGATGTCCATCTGCCGGATGATAACGAGGCCCGTGACTCACTCAGGACGGCACAATGACGCAACGAGACAATGGAGTTTCACAGAAACCGTGTTTTTGTTCTGTTTATTTAAGAAAGCAGAACAAACACACGTAACAGTGTCAAGAGCTCAACAACAAAAGGTTTAAAATGAATTCAAACAACGACAGGAACAGTTTTTATGACAAATGTGTAAAAAAACATATTTTTTTATATACATTTTCTAGCAATCAGACTGAATAATTGTAGCCATTTAATATATACAACTTGCATTATGTCCAGGATAGTATAAATAAAAAGATGCACTGACTGGCTATAAAAATAGATAAATAGTGAATTTTTGTCTTTATATTTCAATCAGATGTTGAAAATAAAAATGTCCGCCTTTCCCCGTCTATAAACTCATCAACCAACATCAGGATTTCTCAGGGCGTTTTTCTGTGTCTATGCAAAGGTCAGAAATATTTCTTTTCATTTCATGTTTGATTCACAACTGGCAAAAAACACACACTTGAATCATCAGATCCGACCTTAAACATTGGAAATCTGTGCTGTCCAGGAAAATCCCACTTAATGCATCCCATGCCATAAATATCAGCCTTTTTAACAGTTGATATGACATGTTTACATCCATTTACACATAATATAACATTGAACAAAACATATAATGATTCACAGTTTAACACTGAGCAGCTCCTGATAAAGTCACACATCACAAGCTGCAGTGCTATCGAGGTTCAGAGTTCATCTTTGGTCGGGTTCATGATGGACGATGACATCAGTGCAGAGGAGTGGAAGCACCCGCAGCGTGGAACAGTCCGGGCTCGGTCGCTAACAGGTGCTGCTTTCCGTGTTGGTGCTTCCGGACATGAACGACCGGCTCTTCTTGGAGTACTTCATGGAGCTGTACACGGCCTTCTCCTGTTCCACGGTTCTGTTGCTGCGGCACAGCAGCGTGTTCTTTACGTGCTCCTTGAACTCGTCCGACACAAAGTAGTAGATGAAAGGGTCCAGGGAGCTGTTGAGGCTCGCCAGACACAGTGACGTGATGTAAAAGCCGTAGCCTTTGTCCACCATTTTGGTTTTCACCAGGACATAGTGCACCACCAGCATTACGTTGCTGGGAATGAAGCAGATGAGGAAGGTGACCAGGACAACCAGGATCAACACGACAGCTTTTCTCCGTGTCTTTGTTGCACTGCTGTCGACCGTGTTGCTCCCCAGAGTTTTGAGCAGCAACACGTATGCCACAATGAGTACGATGCAAGGGATGAAGAATGAGACTGTGGCCATGAACATGAAATAGAAGAATGGATACTTGATATAAGGGTACAGGTCGTCGGCATTTGAATCTATGACGATCACATCGTGGCAGGTTGTCATGTTCACGCCTTTGATCTTAGTTGTGTGATCGTACAGGTACAGAGGAACGGAGGTGATCCAAATGAAAGCCCAGATAGCCACACAGACGCCGATAGCGACTTTGTTGTTCTTCCTTTGCGAACTCAGCGGGTTTGCCACGACCCAGTACCTCTGCACGCTGAGGCAGGTGATGAACAGCACTGAACAGTACATGTTCCCATAGAAGAAGCTCACCAGGACTTTGCACAGGGGCTCCCCATAGAGCCAGTTGTTTCCATTTACGTGGTAGGAAATTTTCAGAGGCATCCAGACAACGAACAGCAGGTCAGCCAAGGCAAGGTTGGCCATGTAGATGGAGGAAGGGTGCTTCTTCTTGGTTCTGAAGAGGAACACCCATAAGGCCATCCCATTTGCAGTCAGGCCCACCACAAACACAACGGTGTAGACAATCGGAAAGAAGACGGTGGTAAGGCCGCTCTGCAGCACATCTAATGCGACATCATCAATAACGGTTCCACTCTCAGTCTGTATTCCAATAAAACTTCGGCCTGAAATAGACAAAGATAAAAGAGATGTTAGTGTAAAAGGCAATTCATGTATGGTACACTTCTCTCTTCTGAACAGCTGTTCAGTTCTAATCTCTTGACTTCAATTGATTGATTCATATTTTTTTATAGGCAGTCAAGAAGGTTTTGTTGTTAATCCCTAAAGTAACTAGAAACAGAATTATTTCTGCGGTGGTTGTGGAAGACCGAATGTCTGGCACTCTTCCTTCAAACAGGACTTGTATGAAGTTCTCAGCCAAAATGACAAGAATACTTCTAAAACATTACCTATAAATGACATTCCATTAATGCTTAACACATGACTGTAGTTTTTTAAACATAATATACTTCATTTTCTTTATTTAGGAAATATGAAACCTATCAAGAATTTGAGAGGAAAATAAAGATCCGTCTCAGGTTACAGTCTAAGACACTATTTCATAGAAGCGTCAAACAAGTATGACCGGCTTCTTCCACACAAACACCTTGGAACATGGAAAAAGAATGGTGGCGATAGAGGCGTGATATGGGCTGGAATTCCAGACACAAGACACGGTGCACATTTCCATGACTCCGAAAACAAGGAGGCGAGGTTTTCTGCAAGGGAACCAGACTCTCAGCTGAAACTTGGGAGAAACTGGGTCATGCAGAGGGACGTCAACTTTGGGCTTTTTTTTTTTTTTAAAGATTGGTAATGTGTGAGTGATCAGAAAACTGCAATCAGTGCACCCTAAATAGAATCAAGTGAAAGGTCGTATAGGGAAATCTTTTGAGCAAACGCTGAACATGTCAACAATCTACCAGTGATGACATTGAAATAAATCACCTAAAAGTAACTTATTAGGTCAGCTGATGACAGGGAGTGTATCATTTGCTTTTCTACATAAATTTTTCTTATATATTCATACACACACACACACACACACACACATATATATATATATATATATATAATAAATAAAAGCTGTAGGCTGTTTTCATTAATACTGTAAAACTCTAAAAGACACACACAAAAAAGTTCCTTAATAAACAGTAGTTACTATAGTTATTTTCTTGCTTAGGCAAATTGTAGTTTCTTTGTAATTTACCGAGTCAAAAACGTGGAACATAAAATCCTACCAAGTGAATCTCTACGAGGTCCAGACCACCTACATGACGTCCTGACATAAAACCTGAACATTATCACTGCAGCCTTTCTGCTCTGTGGTCAATAAAAGTCGTGCCTCGCGACCCTCTCTTGTCCATGAAACGTCGACGCAACAAAAGAGAAAAACGGTGTTGGACTCACCTCGTTGCGCATGAACAGCAGAAGCGAAGCCGACAAGCAGCAGAAGCGACGAAATCCACTTTGAATCCATGTCTGCGCGCTCCAGAGTCAAAAAGCAACTTCTGCTCGTCTCTCACTTGATGTTTCGTCTTAAAACATGTCTGCTAAGGTCTGTGTCTCCGAAGGACACACCCAGAGACTACCTGTCCGGAGTCCGGGCATGCGCATACGTCACTTCTGTAACGCGCGCGGATTTCCCCCCACCCTCCGGTTTCCATGGTACCCAACTTTATCAATAAGAAACAGATGATTGAGATAAAAGCTTTTGAATGCGGAAATACTTAAATACTGCAGTTTGAAACATTTATTTTTAAGCGTGGAAAAAATAAATATCTTGGTATCGATCAACCCCAGTAAAAAAGAAGTGTATATATATTTTAATAACAACAACAATAATAATAATAATAACATATTATTATAATATAATAATACTATTATATTATAATATAATAATATAACATATTATATTATAATAATATATTATGCTGTAATAATATATTATTATTACATATATTATTATTATTAGTAGTAGTAATAAAAATAAATAATAATCCACATTATTAATTGTAATTAATAATTATTATTATTAATAATTGCAATTCGATAATTCCATTAATGCTGCAACTACATTGAACTGCAACTACAGTTCAGTAGATAGTGACACATCCGCATTACCCGCAGCTGGAACCACGTGTTGGATAAAGAGTTTTTCTAAGTGATGACATTGTGAGACATTTATTTTAGGAAATCTAGGTGTGTCCTGACATTAGTCATTAAAATGTGCAAACAATGAAACCAGCACTTTTTTTTAGGTTTCTGAGAAACATCTATTTAACTAAAAGCCACAAATAACAAAAAGACCAGCGTCTTCTTCATGAGAACATGACAGGCTCCCTGCAAGTTATTGATCAGTTTGAACCAATGAACTATTGGACGTGTCCCGACTGTGAACACCCACATGGACAGGCTGTACAACAGGTTTTATCCTCCGGCATTTTGGCCATTCCTTAAATTTTGTTTTTTAAAGGGGAAGCATAGTGTAGAAAATGTGTTTTTTTTTTGTTAGCTTTAATGTCATGTCACAACGTCCCCTCGTCAAAAAAAACCTTCCTTGGAGTAGCGCTTTGATTCTTTCATGCATGTTTGAGAAATCCTTTAATCTCCCGTGGCAACCTGTGCAAAAGGCCTGAGTGGACCTAGCTCCGCCTACAAGGACGGAGCTCCTCTTCAAAGTTGCAGTTTCCAAGCTTCCAAGCTTTTTTTTTTTGAGGAACTTAAGTGAGAACATTTTTCAGCACCCCTCCTCTGTGACTGTCCCACTCAGCTCCTTCAGACAAGGCAGTAATGATCAGTAAACACTTGGTGGAACAGCAACTTCTGAGCTCATTACAGGAGCTGCCTCTCGGTGAAACGCTGATGAAAATCTCGTTAAAGGGTTAACAGGAGCCATTTTGTGATGACTTCCTGAAGGCAGAGTTTCAGAAAGAGCAGATGATCTTTTTTTTTTTTAAAGAGACAGAGACCCAATTTCAAGGCGGTAAAATACAAAGTCACATTTCTTTTTGTGGGCAGGAAAGACATGTAGAATTTAAAGAAGACTCAAAATGAAGTAGCTAACTATTTTTACAATGACTGCCTATCCATCTATGGTAGAAAGAAAAAATTATACAGAGTCACAGTTGGTCAGGATGCTAATTAGTTTGGCAATAATTGGTTTTGGTGATGTAATACTCACAGTGTTGAAATGGTGTCTGACTGACCCTGAATGGGAACAAATGGTAAACATGTGTGTTATGAAAATAAGGAACAACCAGTTTGACCTTTCCAACAGTCCGCCACACAATACACACTCAGCTACAAAGGTCTTTTTTAGTTCCACATGCAGCAGCTTAATATTTGATTAATCTCACTGCAATCTTCTAGTAACATTTTTAAAAACTTGTAAAAGACATTGTTTGAACTTTACACCATCCAGAGGTTGAGTATTAACTGGGTTTTACTTCAAGGCAAAACCCAGAAACCCTTAAAAGGAGTCAAATGTGAATTTGAACACATTGATCATTTTTGCTTGACAAAAGCAGCCTAAAAAATGGGCTAGGTTTATTATTATTTTTCTATGCATAATGTGTATTGCACGAACGACTAACAAAGCTGGGGTAAATAAAGGTGTTGGAGGCATCAGAAGGAGTTGTGTTCAGCACATAGAAACTTTTATTATTATTATTAAACACATAATTGAGCATAAAATGATAAAATTCACACTCTTCTTGATAAGTCATCTTTGAATCGAACATAAAATTACAATGTTTTCCCCATTTATCCATAATATTCTTAATCTGAGTTTTCCCAAACTGATGAGTTTAAAGACCAAACAAAATGGGAGTTTCAGCTTTTGAATGCATTTGGTTTACAAAGATTTCTCTTTGCTTGTCTTCACTCAGAGCCAGTTAATATCAAATATATATATATGGATAAGAAGTCAATTATTAAGGTAGTTTTACATAAATTACTAGATAAAAGATGTCACTGATTTACAGTTTTGTCACACACAAAAAAGGCTACATTCATTTATCTAAAACCACAACATGAGTATCTTCTATGTGATCAAGGTCAAAAATGGCAAAATAATGAGGCACATAGCAGAATACATAGAAATATGTAAAAAAATAGAATAAAATAAAACTGTACTAACTATTTTTCAAAAACAAATATTGACCACACAAAAAAAGCTCTAGAAGATCATACACCTGTTCTGAACTGCTTCAACTCCTGTACTCTTAAGGCTACGTGAGCGATCTGACGGGGGTCGCACTGACACCGCCTGCGATTTTACGACCCTTCCGCTTCCCCGCTGTCCCGCCTCGACATCCTCCACGCTCTTTCAGAGCGTCGCGCTAAGACCAGGGGAGGGTTAATAATGACACCGCCATCAGCAATCGCTGCTCTGTGTGTTTCGCGTGCTGCTGCTGCTGGTGGTGGTGTACGAGCCGCTCTTCTTGGAGAACTTCAGAGCGCTGAAGGAGACCTTTTTCCTCTCGACTGCCCTCTGACTCCTGCACAGAAACGTGTTCTTCACGTGCTCCCTGAAGTCCTCGGAGATGAAGTAATAAATAAAAGGGTCCACGCAACTGTTCAGGCTCGCTAGGCACAGGGTGGTGATGTAAAACCCGTACCCGTTGTTCACAACCTCTCCTAGCAGGAGGATGTAGTGCACCAGCAGCATGATGTTACTGGGGGTGAAGCAGACGATAAACATGAGCAGGACTGTAATGATCAAGACCACGGCCTTGCGGCGCTTCTTGGCAATGGTAGGGTCCCCCATGCTGTTCTGGAGAGCCCTGAGCATGAGGACGTACGATATGATGCACACAACTGTCGGGACGACGTATCCCAGCGTCCCCATCGTCAAGAAGTATCCAGCCGCAGTCTTCTTTTGACTTGGCCTGGTGACGTCGTGGCAGGTCCGGATGCACATGTTTGGTATGTTTACTTCTTGATCGTAGCAGTAGAGAGGAATGGTGATGAGCCACACCAGCACCCAGATCGCTATAGAGACAGAGACTGCTAAAACGTTGCTCCTTTGATGCTGGGACATTGGGTAGACTACAGCCCAGTAACGTTGGACGCTGATGCAGGCGATGAAGGCCATGGAGCAGTACATGTTGCCATAGAAGAATCCCACCAGAACCTTGCACAGCCCATCTCCATACTTCCAGTCGTTGCCATTGAGGTGGTAGTCTATTTTTAAAGGGATCCAAATGACGAAAAGCAGATCAGCAAGCGCCAGGTTGGCCATGTAGATGGACGACGGGTGCTTTTTTTTGGTCCTGAAGAGGAAAACCCATAGAGCCAAGGCATTGGTGGGAAACCCAATGAGAAACACGAGGACATAGATGGCTGGGAGGAAGGCAGTTGTGAGAGGGCTTGTCAGGACTGCTTGGGTGTCAGGGCCAACAAACACACCATCATTCGTTTCTGTCCCAGTGAAGCCTCTGTTCGTTCCTGTGGCTGCAAACATGAAAGGATAAGCAAAGGAACAACAGGTGTTATTTTTTAGAGCTTTCCAAAAGTACTTATAAAACATTAACTTTTTCATATTCAGTGCATAGATGTCAGTGTACTTCAATGGGATTTTATGAAATATACCCAACATAAGGTAGTGCATAACCATGACCTGAAAAAGAGATACAGTGCTCTAAAAGTGTTTCTTCTCTTTATTTTTTACACTATATTTTTCAGATCATGATGCAATTTATAAGATTGGATAAAGATAACCTGAGTAAATAATGACCTCATTCATTAAGGGACAAATTCTGTCCAAAACAACCTGGACCTCTGGGGAAAAGTAACTGTCTGACACACCATAGCACACACTTCCCAAAAATTTTCTGGAAAGGCTCACCAGTGCTGGACGTTTTTCTAATTATGGTTCATTGGCGTCTTATGGCGTTAGTGCCGTACGACACTGTTTTCCGAATTGCTTTTCGATCATCTGGTGCTTTTTGAGCTCTGACTAAAAGACTTGAACTGAACATCCTGACTGGCTTCCAAAAACATTCCATCCCTGAATGTGTCCAATGAGACTTGGACAAAGGTCCACCTTCCAGCAGGACGGCCTAACAAGAAACAGTTGACTTTAAGACACAAACTCCTACGTCCAATTGGACTGCAATTGGAGACATTCTGGCCAGAATGGGACAAAAATGTACACAAAGTACAAAACCAAACATCTATTATTAACCTTAAACCTTACAACTAAAACCCCACCTGAAATTCAATACAATAAACGTAGTGTTGGTAGAGACGGTCTGTCTCCACCTAGAGGTGTCTCAACCTAACGGCACGAAACACCTACCTGTTTATGTCCTGGGTTTCCACACGGACGGCTCATTGAGGTATTTAACAGGAAGAAGAAAAAAAAAGCACAAAGGAGATAAAACTTTACCTTCTGTCGTCGCGCACATCGACATGACCGAGAGTTTGAGTTGACAGACGCGCAGGTTGAAAACGATAGAGAGCGGGCGCGGTCTGCGTCTCTTCTCCACAGGTCGCGAGAGCTCACTTCCGTGACACCTGGGTGACGTCACTGTGCGTCACGTGACTACACCCCCCACTCCAAGACGGTGACTGACCTGGTGATCAGGAGAAGGTTTTCGTGTCAAAACGTGTCGCCCTGCTTTCCAGGAACGCGGGGTTGTCATTGAACACAACAAGTTCACTGAACTGGTTTACTGTGTTTTACACATGGAGCTTATCAGAGGAGTACAAGTCGGTGCAATGACTCTTCTAATCTGACTGATCCACGCCATCTGCGACTGTTATCAGTCATAATTTCTCTTTTTAAATGATGGTGTGTGCATCCCCCAAAAAAGATAGAAGAAAGCGACGTTGCTTCACTAAATGAGAACAGAATATCAGCCAAATTGATGTTTTTTTTTCTCTCTCTCTCCTTCCGACTCTTTCATGCAGGTTATCTTTGACTCTTTAGTCAAAGACAGTTTTGACATTTTAGTGATATTTCTAACAAATGATTTTAGGAAGTAGCTCATAATTATCTGCGCACCAATGTGTCTCTTCTTCGGCGTTGCTATATAGCGGCGAGGGTGACGTTTTTCCTCAATAAACGGTAAAACAGCACCACCTTTCGGCGCAGATGAGTAAGAACACTTGACACGATAAGTTTTGCGGTGCGCATGCGTCACCTTTTTGGCGACATGTTTTCCGTTTACATGACATTACGATGGCGTTTATTTGTAGCCAATTCTGCCGATGTTCCCCCTAATACTCACATTTTATTTGAATGTCTTTTTGATGACGCCATCAATGTGCACCGCTTCATTATAGGAATTCAACTCATTTTAAAAGGGCATTCCCACACTTCAACACAATCAATCAATCAGGTTTGATTGATTGACTTTCATTTCATGAGCAAAGTTACTACAATCAATTCCCTTGTCAGTATCAACAAAACCTACTGAGGTATATTTGTCAAATATAAAGTGTCCCATAGCATTAAAAATAAAAGATGGAAAGTTCTCTGCCAACTTAGTGATTCACATATTTGGCCAGCAGGTGGCAGCATTCAACTACTTTCCTTTTGACTGGAACCTCTGGTTAATTCAGTTCATTTAACAGAAGTCAAAACACCAAAGTTGAGTCTCAAATATTTATTAAGAGACAGAAATACCACAAAATACAAAAAAATATTGTACGTTTTGAAAAGATATAGTGAAAGCTTATATATACAAAAAACAACAACAACAACAAAGGGCTAAATATAACAAGCTGAAGGAATAACTAACATTCAGTGTAAAAATGTAAATATACGCAGCAAAGGGTGAAGTAAACTGCGGTTCGACACTCAGTTTTATGCCAGATTTAACTTCACCACCCCAAAAACAAGAGATCTCTAGTGTTTCTACTACTGCAGGATGTTTGGTTACCTTCAATTTCAGTGAATCTCAATTGAAACATCCCAACTCAGTGCTCAGTTTATGTAGTAGCCTTAACTTTACAGCTTTGTGGTTCTGCGTTTAAATGTACTAACCAGTGCCCAGCGCCACAGTGATCAGACCAACAGTTTCTTGTACTGGCTGTTCAGGTTTGCTTCCATTGAGTTCGTTTTGCTCACCGATGAAGACATTGTGGAGCATTCGGTGCGGCCGGACTTCAGAATGGGTCTGGTGCTGGATCTGTACGAGTCAGATGACGAATTGGTGATTCGACCCTTAGTCGACGATCGACACAGCATGCCGGACAGCTGTCTCTGACACTGGGAAGAGCCGAAGTAGTAGAGGAGGGGATCCAGGAGGCAGTTTAGACTGCCCAAACACAAAAACGTCAAATAGAGCCCGTAGGAGCTGTCGGTGGCCTTCGAAGCATTGTTGGATCCTTCAAACAGAAAGTAGTGTGCCAGTAGGAAGCAGTTGGTGGGCATGAAGCACAGCACGAAAATCACTAGGACCGTCACGATCATCACCACCGCTCTTGTTTTTTTGCGCGATCGTCCTTGAAGCCCGCGTGCCACGCTGCTCAGCGTCCAGATGACTTTGGTATAGGACCCCACCGTGACAAGAAAAGGCAAAACAAACAGGGAGAGACAGATGGCAATGAAATATATCTTCAACCACAAAATCGCCTCTGTGGTTTGGACGTCGTGGCAGGTGGTGATGTTCAGCCCCTCAACGTAAGCCGTCTGGTCGGAGACGACAAGCGGAACGGAGGCGGCGAAGGACAGGACCCACACGGTCACGCAGGCTTTGACGGTGTTCTCCGTCTTCCTCCATGCCAGGGAGTCGATGGGGTACACGACCGCAAGGAACCGGTCCACGCTGATGCAGGCTATGAGAAGGACGGAGCAGTACATGTTCCAGTAGAAGCTGGCGGTGACCACCCTGCACAGGAGCCAGCCGAATATCCAGTCGTTGCCCATGAAGTGGTAAGAGATCTTGAAGGGGAGCATGAGACCGAAGAGCAGGTCAGCGGAGGCCAGGTTCAGCATGTAGATCGCCGCCGGCTTCTTTGGCTGGATGCCCTTAAAGAAGGCCACGATGGCGGCGAGGTTGATGGGAACGCTGATGCAGCACACAAAGGTGTAGAACGAAGGCATGAGTACCGTGGAAATGGGGCTCGTCAGGAACTGTCTCGCCTCCTCAGAGAGGGATCCTTTTAACGTTTCATTCCTTGCGGTTCGGTTTGAAGGAACCAATTGTTGATCTTCATCAACATAATCGATCGGTTCGTCTGTGGCTGCTGGACTAAGGACAAAGGTCCGTGGATTAGCGCCTGGCGAAAGAAAAAACAAACAAGCAAATGAGGATCAAATGGCTATAAACTGAAATATTTACAATTCAAAGAATTAATTCAAAGAAATACAAAGTCATTATGAAGGGCCAAAGGCAAATTAATTTCAGTATGACTATTATTTTTAAGACCTCAACCTTAAACAGTAAATAATTTTTTTAACAAAAAAAGAAAAAAAATGTATTTATATCTTTTTTTTTTTTACACTGATTTTTTTTTGACAAAAACATAAAAGAGACTCCATTCACGAGGATGAAAAGGGCACCTTGGACTGTAAAAGCTGCAGATAACTTTGGGCCACGTTCAACCTAGGACCGGCCCTGCTAACTTTCTAACACACACACAAAAATAAAAAATAAAAAATGCAGAAAAAAAATCATAATCACTCAAAAGTAGTCTTTAATTTACTGTACATGCTTCAGTTTTTTTGGGGGGAAATAAACTTTACAATGAACCGCCCCGTTATTTAATGTCATGTTTTTCCCTCCAACATGAAGATGTGATCAAATGCTTCTTCCTGCTTGTTTGTGTGCGAAAAGCCACGAGTTATGTTTTTTAAAAAGCAGGTTATTATTAGTATTTTTTGACGCACGCTTCATTTCATTTGGATAAAACGGAAATGTATTTTTGTGTGTGTTTTTTCCTCACCGTTTCTTTTGAAAGGGCCTGCAGCAGCAGCAGAAAACAAGCAGAGCAGCAGCACAGATCTCAGGGCCCCAGGAAGCATCGTGTCGCTGAAACCCAGGATCCAAACCCACAGGAACATCCACCAGACGTGTCTCTGCGCGTCTCTCTCCCACGTCCCTCTGCTGTTTATCAGACTCCCGGAGACTTTTTAGTTTCCGCCCAAGTTTAGTCCCAAACGCGTCCGTCCCTTCCCCCCTTAAATCTCCCTCCCCTCCCCATGTCCGGCACGTCACTCTCATTCCTTTCTTCTGATGTCACCTTTCCGGTCTCATAGTAACAGGCCACCAGAAGGAAACCATTACAAAGATCGACCATGTAAATACATAAATAATACCACACCTTATGAACAGAGCCTTAAAATCTGAAATAATTCCCAAGATTTCGCCTGATCTACAGGGAACAACACGGGCCAAAACCCACCTCTCTCATCCGTGTTCATGAAATTCTGGATTTAAACACAGAAAGGAGCTCTAATATTTTGATTTGATAATTATCAGGGTGAAAAGTGAAACTTTAAGCAAGAGCAAAACAAACTAAATGAGGGAGGGAATGTGTGCTGAGCAAAGTGCAGGATCATAAAAGCTGAAGATCTTGTGCAAAAAACACCTTATTTTAATTTTAACTGTATGTGGTCTATCACGTTACTAAATTTCAAAACAGGAAAGTGCCAAAACAAGTTCAGAACTCATTTTATTATGTTATTATTTAAACTTGCAATGAGTTTTCGTGGTTAACTAAAAAACACACACACACAAAAAACACAAAAACCACAACAACTCCATGTCAAAGACCAAACCTACACCCATAGGTTTCAGGCAAATCGTCCGTATTTGTACGAGACAGAAACGTTCCCCTTCACTTCCTTTGTATCAGGAACGTCAAAGTCTGAAGAGGAGTCCTGCAAAGTTTAGACATCCCAAAATCAGATGAAGGATGGCGTTAGAGGAAAGAAAGAGAGAAAGAAAGAAGTAAAGAAAAGAAAAAAGAAAGAAAGAAAGGAAAAAAGGAAGGAAGGAAGTCATGGACTTTTCTATGAAAAAAGTGACTCATTGTCTGGAAAATAAGTTAAATGTTTTTTTTTTCCATCTTCAGTTTTTGCTTTTGGTGACTAAATTGGACCAGATTAGAGATTCGTCCAACAGAAGGACTTTTATCTCACATACAATCTGAGGTTTACTTGGCCTTGGAGCGAAAAACCTTTCACCGTAGTCTGACAAACGTTAGCTTTCCTTTGGTAAAAGTAAAAGCGACTGGAGTTTTTCAGAGAATGAAGGATGGGAGGCTTTGTTCCATAAACAGAACTTCATTCTCAGCGTCGTTGACTAGACAAGCCTCAGTTTGTCCCTGCTGACGTCGCAGGGCTTCCTCTGCTTGTGGCAGACAGCAGATCGTATCAGGAGAAACCGTTAAATACGCAGCAGAAAAAAAATGGACCACTTTTTATTTTTTATTTGTTTTAATTGTTATCATTCTTCACGCGAGTCTTCCCATCTAGTTTTCTGGCTGAATCATATCTAGGAACATATTGCTAGCTCACGATGAGGATCAAAAACAAAATGTTCAGGACACTTGCTGTTTAAAAAAAAAGAAAAAAAAAGTGTTTTTTCAAGGCATTTCCACAGGAATTGACTTCCTGGACTTCTTCCTTTTTTGTCCATTGTAAAGTGTTTATTTATGGCTTATGTAAACTAATTTCTGAGACTGTAAACACGTCTAATTTTGGTGAGATCACATTGCAGGAGAGTTCACTCCACCCCCAAGATGGCAGTCGGCCCCGGAGTCACTAGAAACCAGTCAGAACTGACGAGCAGCAGAAAGTGTTTGCTGATTGTTTTCTCTCAGTGTGAGGGGGGGAAAGTGAGTTTCTGATGACGGGTGGAGGTTTTGGGAGCGGTCGGCCTCGTCTACACGGACAGCCTGGACTCCCTCGGGGTTTGATGTCTGAGCTCCCTGACGTTCATGCAAATCCGTTTCCTCCCAGACGCTTCTATCAACCGGTTGTCTGTTTCTCATTAACCCGTCTCCCTTTTGCTTGCTCTCAAGTTCATTTGTATGTCCGAAAAACGACAATAAACCGGGGCTCGTTATTCATGGCTCCCATTCGTTTAGATATTCCACACCTGTTACTCATCACGACGGCCCCTTTCCCAGTCATCGCCAGTTCCTCCATTAGGCATATGGTCTCTGCTTCGAGGCAGAATTTATTGCTTTGCAACCCTTCTTTTGATTTGTGCGTTTCCTAGGGATTTTTCGAAAAATATCCAAACATCGCCTCTCTGTTGCCTGCGCAACAGAACAATGGAAACTCTAGATCAACCCAACTGGGACCTGATTTCAACCAGTTTGCCAGTGAATTTTGTTTCCTCATGTTTTGTTCTTGCTGGTGTGTTAAAAACATGTTTTGCAGGCATGAAAATGAGGAGACGAACTTTAATCTCTGCGGCTAACTTCGACTCTCCTCTTGTTGCGAATAATGCCTGTGCACTGGGATCGGTGTTGTGAAATTTAAAGCACTGTGCATTGACAGGATAGGTTGTGCTTCCTTTACCGTGACATCACCGTCTTATTTTATTTCATTTATTAATGCTCAAGCATTTGGCTGGGAAGTTTCCCCATGGCAGACCAAGAATTTATCGGTCAGATCCTTCAAAAAGAAGGCCTTCACTTTTTGTTTCAAGCATCCAGCACTCCGATGTGAGTGAGGCTCCTGCACAGTGTACAACTTAAGACAAGGTAATCAAGTCAATATTTGGTTTTGCAGCTGTAAAGATTTTGCAGAAGTGGTGCCCATATGCTCTCTACAAGATGTCATCACGTTATGTACGCCAAAACGTCCAATGAGTAGTGAGGCGTTGCTGGAACTGATGAATAGGAAAAGTCAAAACATTTCTGAAAGATTAATTCCCCCACAAGGTGAAAGATGCAGATACTGTGAACTGGAAATAAACTGAACTAAACTGAACTGAATGAAATTGAGGAACTGAAAGGTTCTCAAAATTCAGAGGGAATTGGCCCAGAAAGTTCAGAAATGTTATAAATGTGGCAAGGAGAGTCGCATCAACATACAGTAACAAACCTAAATGTGACCATAATCAACAAACGAGCTTTTGGGAAAGTATTTTGTGCTGTCACCGAAGAGCGTTCATTATTGAGGCATTTAGTCACCCAAAAATAGAAACACGCTGCATTCCTGTAAGAAGCTGTCAGTTACCAAGAAGCATCTAGAAAGATAACATCATTTTCAACGGAGCCTCATTTAGTCTGCTATCTGATAACGTTCTGGCAACCAATGCAAAATTACTTACGCAATAACATCTTAAGAAATTTCTTTAACTTCACTTTGACTAGAAGGACTTTAGTGTGATGCGTGCTACTGTTCCAAAAAAATAACAACAAACAATCCAGTCAAATTTGGGTTTTTTAGAAGGGGAGATAGTTGTGAAGTAGATTTTTCTTTAAAGAGAAAATCTTTTATTTGCATCATACATAGTCGAGATGTTTTTTTCAGGCAGCTGCAGAAAACATCTGCAGCTGCCTGCTGATGTCTAATTGAACAAGATGTGTCTGTTGAAGTTTCCCAGACGGGTTATTTGGGAACTTGCTGTTTTTCCTGTGGCCTTCCCTGCATGGAAATAGAATGTTTAGTTTTTGCATCCCGTAGACATGATAGTGAATAAGGTTGAACTGTTCCGTCTGCTTTCCTTTGTTTCTTTTGTTTGGTCTTCGAAGATTGAGTCTCCGCCTCTGTTAGCAGAGAGAGGTGAATAAAGGAACTCTGAGTTATTTAGAGCAGAATGAGTTTCGCCTAATGCAGTGTATTTTTGCTCTCTGTCTGCAGATGTATTAAAGATTGTTTTTGCTCCCTGACTTTTGTCTGGACCTCAGTCTCTGAATTATGTACTTCATAAGTTCTACTGGCGCCTCATGGGGGGGTTGAGGGTCCGCTGTTCTAGTCTCAGTCCGGAAAGGCGCGTCGACAGACAGAACCTGTGGCAAATACGGGGTTTGTTTGGGCAAGTGTGCGGCTGCGTTAAGCATTTTGGAAATATCCGATATTTATCGAAATTCAAGTGAGAATTTATTGTGTTTTTTGTCTGTTTTACCTGCAGTAAACTCTATTTTATCCATTTTCATAAAATGGACAAAATAGTCTGATTGCTGAAAAACATATGCATGCGCTGCTCATAAAAAGTCAGGACTCTTCACCTGTTTCAGGATGAACCTGCAACCTTCACAGATCAGCTGAAGGCGACCTCCGCTAAATTTCTGAATGTTCAGCCATTCAGTCATTTTTGCACAACTTGCTGTTCTCCGACAGTAAATTGGATCCGTGAACTGACCAAAATGTCCCGGTCATCCAGGAGGTCAGGAAACCTGATCGAAGGCGTCTCTCCGTTGCGAGGCCTCAAGCAGGAGTCGCATCATATTTGATGAAGCCAAAATGTAACTCATAACGTAACTGCTGCAAATCAGCATCGACGCTCATAAACTAACGTTTCATCCAGTCGGGGAATTCCCGTTGTTTTCCTCTGCCCTTTCTGCTTTGGATTGAACCGAGGCCTGATCAGACTGAACAGCAACCAGGAGAGAACGAGGACTTTCTGAAGAGGCAGACGGAAAAGCAGCAAACCCTTTATTGGTTCGTCTCTCAACTGGAACCGGGCCTGTGACTTTATCTCTCACCGTCTGCATCCTGCCTCCTCCCTGAAGCTCACAGTGAGTTCGGGAACACTGCGGCCTGGAAGAGCTGACCTCCACTTTTGAAGATTTTTGAACATTTTTATATCAGCAAGGGGGAGAGAGACGAGGGAGGGAGCGAGGCAGGTGGGGGGCATCAACACGCACAGGAAAGAGGTCACACACACGTCCAGGAAATGATGTCACTCCCTGAGCTGCCTGTCAGCTCATTGTGTCGGCTTCTCTTCACGGTATTCATTGTCTTTTTAGGTACTTTGCCTGCAGAGAAGCGTCATTTCCCAACGACGCTCAGAGCAACAAGGAGGTTCAAATAAGCGGCTTTATCTACAAAAGTGAACTCTGAACCTTTTACGCACTGGCAAGTCAACAGACTCGCTTAAAAAATAGAAAAATGTCCAGCTGGAAATCGGGACAAAAACAAAACCTGCAGCGTGAACTGAGCTGCAGTTTGATATTACA